CGATTGATGCCAAGCCTGATGACCTTTTCCTGTAACTCACATGGATAAGGAAAGAGCAGAGTCTAGCAAGTTTTAGTCCATGTCTACACATGGGCTCTGGTGCACAAATACCCAAGAATACACATACAACATAATAAATAAATGATAGATAGATAAATGTAGTTTAAAAATAAATTTAGAGCAGGTGGCATTCATCACTCATTCCAAATGTTCCACTGAAGTACAGTTATTAGTATAAGAAACTAAATTCTCTGAACATAGAAACCAAATTTGGTCTGATCACAAGGCCAGCCTGGCTATATGGTGAGTTGGAGGTGAGTTTGTCTACCTCAATTTCTGTCTCAAAAACAAAACAACTAAAACTGTATTTGATTCCATTTTAAAATACATTTAGATACCAACTTCAAACCACATTCTACCAGTACTTGATAAGTTTAATATTCATTTATTTATTTTTAAAGACTTATGTTTTAATTTTATGTATATGAGTGTTGTTTTGCCTGCATTTATGTGTGAACACCACAGGTGTGTTTACTGTGCCCTCGGAAGGCAAATGAGGGCATTGGATCTCCTAGAACTGGAATGATGGATAGTTATGAGCCAGCATGTGTGTGCTGGGTGAAACCCAGGCTGTCTGGAAGAGCAGCAGTGTTCCTAGGAATCTCTCCAGCCCTGCATGGATTATATACGTTAGTGATTAACTCAAAGTTACAGATAATGCATAGGTATCACATTAGGGGAAGAAAGAAAAGCACTTCCCCTGGAGTCATTTAACCAAGATGGAGTCCGGATTTGAATTCTCTACTTCCTGTTCCTCTCGTCTACTGTCCTGTCTTTCCGCTGCGTAAGTCTGGATCTCTGCTGCCTGAAGGCTTTCTTGTGAATCTTCTGTTCCTGTCTGTGTCTTCTGTCTGTGTGTGTCTGATGATTGTGTATGTGTGTTGAGCTCTGTGTGTCCGGGTGTCTGCCCATCACAAAGGACTTAACTCTCTAAGTACTGAACAGCACAGAAAGCGCCACATGAAGAAGGAATGGAATCCTTTACACTGCAGTGGTTCTCAACACGTGGGGTGCTCACGGCCAGCGGAAAACACATATTCCTGATGGTCTTATGGACCCTCAACCATAAATTTATTTTGTTGCTACTTCATAACTATAATTTTGCTACTGAGCAGTTTCTCAGTTCCTAAGACCACTGGAAATATGTGTTTTCCAATGGTCACAACCCACAGGTTGAGGATTGCTGCCTCACAGAAATCTTTAACAGTCTTACAAAAGATTAAGTCACTGTCTCCACCTGATCCCAGCTGAGCCAGATAACAAACATCATTGTTTACCAACCAATACCCATAAATGTTGCTTTCAACCTTTATGGTAAATTTTACAATGCTGCTTTCAGCAAATGATACATATGCATTTTCTGGGTCAGGGGCACGGAACGGTACATAATGGTACATAACTTAAGATCGTAGCTATACAGCCGGGCGGTGGTGGTGCACACCTTTAATCCCAGCACTTGGGAGGCAGAGGCAGGTGGATCTCTGTGAGTTCGAGGCCAGCCTGGTCTACAAAGTGAGTTCCAGGACAGGCTCCAAAGCCACACAAAGAAACCCTGTCTTAAAAAAAACAAACCAAAACAAAGATTGCAGCTATACATTAGCTTAGGCTGTCCAAGTTGATTACATGGGAAATCCAAGGCCCGTAAGGATGAGTATTACATTGTCCTCTCTCTCTCTCTCTCTCTCTCTCTCTCTCTCTCTCTCTCTCTCTCTCTCTCTCTCTCTCTCAACTATGAATGACACTTTATCCAGTCATTTTTTTTTTTTAACAACCAAAAACTCTGGGAATTCAAAATTAACTTCTTGCCTGTGAGCTTCTTAAATGCACCAGAGAGAGCTTCCACCTTGTGCTCCATTGTTCTGCTGGGCTGTGTCTAAACAAACCATCAGGAGCCAGCTGCCATCCAGTTCCACACAGATCCTCTTACCCACAATTCCACTCGGGAGGACCAAGTCTTGAGGATGGTGTTACGCACTGCTCTCGGCATGGCTTCTAGGTGCATCTGCTTATTTTTTGTATGGCTTTTCTACTTGGCATGGGCAGAACCCTCCTCTGAGCTATAAAGACCATGTGTTTTCCTCTAAACCTTTTCTCCAATTCACAAGCTATCCCGACTTAGATTTTCTGGGAAGATTTCAGCTAAGGAACTGGTACAAAAGTTATGACCCCCACCAACTTCATCAACCTTGGCCATGGTAATGGTGAGTTCCCACCGCTGAACCTTGAGATCTGAGTTCATTTCCAGCGTGCCTGGGAGATGCCAGGTGCTTCACAGTCTTGGCACTTGAACTGAACATGACCTTGTCCTTTCAGAGTGCTAGCTTAGAAACACGTTGTTCTCTTAAAGGAAGGTTAAATCAACAGTTGGAGTACATAGTAGAATGGCAGTCTTAAGAGACCTCAAGGTATATTATCAACTCTGGCCGTGAGGTACAGCAAAAGTTCCATTCTCTTAGAAAGTAAGAGAGAGTTTCATACTCCATCACTACACAGCCCAAGCTTAATAATGTAGAGAACGCTTGCATCTATCACTTCTTGTTATATTTTACACAAACCTGCACCTCCTGATTCTTTTTTATCTATAAATACTCCCAGGTAAATTTTTCCACATAATTTTGAAAACTGCATTAATATTTCTTAAAACTTCCCCAAATAGAGAAGAGATTATTAGGAAATGAATACAAGCAAAATCCAGTGATAAACATATATGAAAATGTCATAAGCTATATTATTTTATATGCTAAATAAATAAGAATCCAAAAAAAATAATTTTTTTTTTTTTTGTTTTTTTGTTTTTCGAGACAGGGTTTCTCTGTGTAGCTTTGCGCCTCTCCTGGAACTCACTTGGTAGCCCAGGCTGGCCTCGAACTCACAGAGATCCACCTGGCTCTGCCTCCCGAGTGCTGGGATTAAAGGCGTGCGCCACCACCGCCCGGCTAATTTTTTATTAATTGGTTGGTTATTAATAAACAACAGCATTGATTCTCATCTATTATTATGAAAACACAGATGTATAAAGCTTTTGGGGTTTGTGTGTGCAGTGTATGTGCATATAAGCATATGTGCAGGCATGTGTAGAGGGGTGCGTGTGCACAGATGCCAGAGTTGACTGCAGGTGTTCCCTCCCAACACTTCCCACTTTAGATTTTGAGGCAAGGTATCTCTTGCTGAATCTAGAGCTCACAATTCATCTAGACGGGCTAGCCATCTGTCTCTGGAATCTGGAACTCTGCCTCCCTCATGCTGGGATTACAGGCAGGTGGCTCTTCCTTACGGCCTGTGATTGGGTGCTGGCGATCCCAGCCCTGGTGCTCATGCTTGTACAGGCGGCCTGTGATTGGATGCTGGGGATCCCAGCCCGGTGCTCATGCTTGTACAGCAAGAGTTTGCCCACTCCATCACCTCCCCAGCCCGAACCGGTTTTGTTTTCTTAGGTACTTATCTCAGGAAGGATTTTTAGAGAAACTCGATGACCTTCCATGTGAGATGTTCGGTATCGTTTGTTCCAGACCTCTACAATGTTACCAGAGTTGAAGTGTTGACTGTTGAGATAGTTTTCAAAACCCCTGATAGCAAAACAAGACAAGGCACCAATGTTTTCTACGTCTGAAACATCTGACCTGCCTTCTTCCTCAGCCATGTTCTTCCTCTGTTTTCAGACACTAGTTTTCCCTTGGAACGCTTGAACACATTTTCAGTAGTTTTCCTCTTCATTTTCACGGTTTGTAGTGACGAAGTCCTTTGTTGGTAGCCACAAATATCTGACACGGGTCAACAATCTACCAAAGATAGTAGAAAGAATTAGAGTCTGACGCCTTCACACACATGAATATGTGTTCTGTGTGAGGGTAACACTAATCCAGGTGTTCTGCTTTTTCATGATTCTTACGGACTATTTTCAAAACATGACCTCAACGGCCATTGTAATACACAGAATTATACACTTTTAAAGCTGTAATGTGCTTTTTAATTAAAAATAATTATCCCAGCACTCGGGAGGCAGAGGCAGGTGGATCTCTGTGAGTTCGAGGCCAGCCTGGTCTCCAAAGCGAGTTCCAGGAAAGGCGCAAAGCTACACAGAGAAACCCTGTCTCGAAAAAACAAAACAAAAAAAAATTAAAAATAACGTGACTGAGGGCAAAGGCTGTGTGGCTGCTATGCGTGAAGCCCTAGATAGCAGAGACGCACTGTCTCTTGCAGGCTGCCTTCCCAGGGCTGCTCTGGGCACAAGTCCCTGGGCTCCCTCCTCCCGCCTCAGCTCGGGCACTGCCGCCAGGGGGCGCCTCAGCTCGGGCACTGCCGCCAGGGGGCGCCTCAGCTCGGGCACTGCCGCCAGGGGGCGCCGCGGAGCCCGCGCACCCCTTGCCTGTGCTCTCCAGCCCTGGCTCGGAGGGAGCGCAGCAAACGTGGGCTGGGGGATCTGTGATCTGTGCGCCATCACACAAGGTAAGTGTCAACACCAGAGGAGGAGCACTCGCTCGCGCCAGGCTCTGAGAGCAGAATTCACCTTCAGTCCCGGAAGATCGTCCCCCTCGGAAACAAGTCCGCCACTTCCGGAAGCCTCCAGTGCCCTCCCAGGTAGAGCACTTTCCTTCTGAGGAGTTGTCCTCACGGCTGAGCCTAGGTGGCTGACCCGGAGAGAAACAGGTGCCCTTCCCGCAATGGTGGAACTTTTGAGATGAGGTTCTGAGCGGTGCCTTTGTTCTTAGCCATTGTCATGGTTCTCATTAGAGACCCGCAGGTTCTGTCTATGAAAAGAAAAAATATTCACCAAGGGAAGATTCACTGCCCTTTTCCAGAACATCCTGGACTCTGCCGAGTGGGGGCTCTCGGGAGGAGGCAGGGAGGAGAGCCACGTGGGGGAGGTGGGGGCGGTGTTTTACATAGAAGGAGCCCCAGGGTGCTTAGCGGCCTGGGGACAGGTGAACACCCTCAACAGTGACAGGCATTCCTGAGGACAGTGAGTTTTCCAGGAGAGGACGCTGGAGCTAAAACCCCGGCTTTGCGAAGGCAGCCGGTGAGTGACACAAGACCAAGACACCGCTCTAAAATAAAGCAAGAAAATGCGTGATGGGAGGCAAGGACCTGGCTCTGCAGGTCCTGCATCCTTATTAGGCAGCGTGGACTCAATTCCGGGAGAACAAGAGACCACATATAGATCAAGTCTCATAAACATACCCACAGTTCGTGCATCTCACTAGTTAAAAGGCTGGCTATCCGCTCCTTGTAAGGGTTCCTGCTACATAAACTTGAAGTTGGCGTGGTCTCTCTCCCCTCCCTCCCACGTTCCTCCCTACAGCCTACCCTTCGCCCCTCAGAATCCATGTAAGGTGTCTTTCCCCAAAAGCTATGACCACGTCCTTCACAAGCTGTTCCTTAGCTCTGCTCAGGAATCCCGGTTTCTCTCCCTTTGGCCTGAGAAGCTTCTCTCCTGCTGGCAGAGGCTAACTAACCTCTCTCAGAGTCTTGACCCCACGTCCTCCTGGAAAACCTCACTAGCTCCCTCCCCCACATCCTCTGGTGTTTATTGCAGTGTTGAAGTTCCAAAGGCTTCTCTCTGTCTCTCAAGTTCAAAATGAGCCCGAGAATCTTCTTCAGTGTAAGACCCCCACCGAGGCTGCCTCCTATCTTTCTCCTTAGAGCTCACCATAGGCCCAGTAAACACTACAAAAGAGTGCCAGCTTACAGCATGACCCCGTGCTATACCCATCATCCCTGTCTGTAGCCCTGCTTATGCCACCTAGGTCCATGCCCAAGGGCTCCCCAACTTCGCCACACATGACTCCTGAGGAGCTCCTATGATGTAAGGCTCCACCCCACCTTATGTCTGTTTTCTCCAGAGAGCCCACTGGCCCTGCCCCCAGCAGGCCCAAGCTAACTGGAGCAGACAAAAGTTGGCTTGCAGTGTGACCCTGTTCAGGAAGCCATGAGAGGAGACAGCAGGGCCCTCACTGATCTGTAGATTAGGACTGGGGCCAAGAGCATCTATCTCACAGGGGTAGCTTGCATGAAAAGGATGCCCCTCTGTGTTGCTCTTGCCTGGCTTGTTGAGGTACTTCCTCAGCTAATCTGCATGAGGAGTATGATGTCTTGCTTCTGAAGAGCTGCCAAAGCTCTCAAAGCTGCCCACTGTGTGGGGCCTGTTAGCTAGACAAGTCCTGCAGGGGCTGAAAAGGACACATCCAGCAAAGCGGATGCATTAACGTGGTGGTCGAGTGAGGGCATGCTGGTGAGGAGGGCAGGAAGTCAGTTTGGACCGTCAGGATCCATTGTCCTAGGACCAGCCACAGCTCAGAGACGGAGAGAAGCCCAGCTTGTCATGAGCACGTGCCTCTCCCAGCAGCTGTGTGTTCTGGGTGGAAAGATGCTGTGAAGGGGACAGGAAAGGGGAGGCCTCCTACAATGGTGAGAAACTCGGGGCCCACCGGAGCCAGCTTCTTCTCCGGGTGAATCCTGTGGGGGTCAGGAGATGAACAGATGAGGATTCCCTCCTGTGTCACTTTGTTTTGTTTTGTTTTGGTTTTGGTTTTTCGAGACAGGGTTTCTCTGTGTAGCTTTGCGCCTTTCCTGGAACTCGCTTTGGAGACCAGGCTGGCCTCGAACTCACAGAGATCCGCCTGCCTCTGCCTCTCGAGTGCTGGGATTAAAGGTGTGCGCCACCACCGCCCGGCCCGTGTCACATTTCAGCTCTTGACTTTTGGTTTATGATTGTCCAGGAGTCAGCCAATGAAGTGCCAAGCCAGATCTGCTCCCTAGAGATTCATCAGGCCTTGGTAGGCTCTCCTGGATATTGTCAGAAGCTGAGGCCATCCTGGACACTCTTGGATCTGTAGTACCAGGTGAGAGGGCAGAGAGGTGAGACTTGGGGGTCTCTGTGGGTCTGGAGTCCCACAACCTTCCTGAGGACCCATGGGCAGAGTGTTTTTGATTTGACCCTTTGCTTTTGTGTAGACGAAATCTTCCCAATTGCTGGAAAGAGGATTTGCTGAAACGTGCGCCTAGGAATACAGGAGTTTTCAGTGTCTGGACCCTGAAGAAGGAAACAAAGACCTCAGAACAGCATATCTTTCCACAGTGTGCCACCTCAGTACCAAAGGTCAGATAGCTTGTAATCGGAGAAGGAGTGTGACAGGGAAGGGTCTGCACATAGCTTACTGGATTAAATCCTCAAAGCAACCTGGAAACCAGGTGTTGTTTTACCATGATCTACAGATGAAGATGCACAGGCTCGGAGAGGTCAAGGGACATGTCCCAGGGTCACATGGCTAGAAAAGGGAGGAAACGTGGGCGGGTGTGTGTGTGTGTCATAGATGATGCTGACCTGATGCTTTCTCACAGAAGTAGTTTCCTGCCTCCTCCTGGGTGTTGACAGAGGCACACCCATGAATGGAATCTCCCGGTTTCTGGGAGGCTAGGAGGGGGTTGGGAGACTGACATGGCTTCCTCTGTCTCCTGCAGGGCCCAGGGAAGCTGTGCAAGAAGGTCTCAATGTTCCTTGTGATCACTGATATTTGAGATCCAGAAGTCTCCCCATGGCTCCTTATCACATCCGCCAGTACCAGGAGAGGGACCACACAAGGGTCCTGGAGTTGTTCTCCAGGGGCATGGAGGAGCATGTCCCTGCCACCTTCCGTCATATGTTGACACTGCCCCAAACCCTCCTGCCCTTACTTGGGGTGCTTGTAATCATAGTCCTGGTGTCTGGCTCCTGGCTCCTGGCCACAGTGTGCAGCTTCCTCGTGCTCCTTTGCCTGTGGCTCCTTGTCTGGCTTTTTTGCAGAAAGTATGTGGCTACATGTTGTCATACAGACCTGGCTGACATCACTAAGTCCTATCTGAATGCACATGGCTCCTTCTGGGTGGCTGAGTCTGGGGACCAGGTGGTGGGTATAGTGGGTTGTCTGCCAGTCAAGGCTCCCCCATCAGGGAGGAAGCAGCTGCAGCTCTTTCGCCTGTCTGTGTCCTCACAGCATCGAGGACAGGGGATAGCGAGAGCCCTGGTCAGAACTGTCCTCCAGTTTGCACGGGACCAGGGCTACAGGGACGTTGTCCTTGAGACTAGCATTGTGCAGTATAGCGCGTTGGCTCTCTACCAGGCCATGGGCTTCCAGAAGACAGACGAGTACTTTGCCAGCATAACCATGAGGTTAATGGCTCTCTCTATCTTTCACTTTACTTACTTTCTCCCTTTTGCTTGGGAACCAGGGATGTGATCATTTTCTTTGTCTCTGAGGTTCCAGTTCGCTCTGCTGTAGGAACAAGCAAACCCTGGTAGTTTACTGCTGCCCGTCACAGGAGCTCATTTTTCCTTCCTTTCAGATCCAGCCTTGCTGATGGTGAGGTGGGTGTTGGCTTCGGCTCCCATTCTGCCCTTTTAAGTCACTCTTCGATCTTTCTAGTGCTGTGATAATACAGCGCAGAACCCAGCCTGAGCCCATACTGCACACATTTCCTATATGAGTCCATCAGCTATCAGTTTCAGCTAGGTGGTCTCAGAAGTTCCAGCAGCCCAGTCAAGATGTAGGATCTTTGCGGAGAGGCCAAAATGAACACAGAAAGGAGCAAAGGTTTTCCTGGGACACCGAACTTGTCACTTAGGAAAAATCTAAGGCTTGCATAGAAACAGAGCCTCCTCTGGTAGAGGCACAGCACAGTCATGGGTCAGGGTGACCTGTCCCCTCTGAGAACCGGAGCAGTGATACACTTAACTTACTCCTGTAGCATGAATCTTAACAGTTCTTATTAATAAGGTCAAACCCGAGGCCAGTTATTGGGGTCAATGCTGGAAGGTCAGAGTACCAGAACAAGCCACAGCTATCTCACCTTGCCGGATCCTCAGTTGGTCTTGTCTCCTCAGACTGGAGGCCTCTGAGTCCTCATCCAGAATGGGTCTCAGCTGAATTGCTGCTGAAAGGTTTACAACACGCCCCCACGGTCGGGCGTGTTCGCATATGCCCAACAGACACTTCCACCTAGCCAGTTCCAGGTCAGGATAGCCATTTCCGGGTCAGGGCATCTTGCGTGACCAAGATCCGTGATGTTCCATTGGCTACGTAGGCGCGCAACGTGGCCATGTGATCTACGCGCTTGCGTGTAATAGTGACGCTGATCTGTCCACGCCCAGCCTTTAAAATCCGGCGCCATGTTCCCGGTTTCTTCTTCTTCTTCCTCCTTCTTCTCCACACACGTGCTTCCCGCAGGCCTGTTCACTCTCTGTCCCTTTACCTTTAATAAAACTCTTGTTAGCGGATTCTGTCGTGTTTCGTGGCATTTCCTTGCAGGGTAAGAACACAACGCAGCCGAAAAACTAACATTTTGGTGCCGAAACCGAGCGGGCGCTTCCGGGCGCCCTGCGCCTGGAAACCCGTAAACCGGGGACTGCAACACTCTGCTCCGTACGCGACAGACCGCTCTCCATTTTGCCTGACCGCAGAAATTCCATGCAACACCGCTTTCTCCGATTGGTGAGTCCCCCCCATTTTTCGGCCAGTGTAAACGGTTTCCTGAATCTGTGAGAACAACCGGTACCTCACCAGTATTCTTGAGACCGGGGTAACCCCTGGCCACGGTCTTCATTGGCTACGGTCGGCCCCTATCGCAGGCCTGAGATTTCTAGCCCTCTCCCACGTCTGCAGCCTGAGATATTTCTCGCGTTGGGACCACCACCGTTGGGTGCGTCCTGGGGGCCACGTGGGGCCGACACGTTCATCCGACTTGACGAAGCGGCAGACGCTGTCCGGATTCCCGGGGAATCCTTTCCTCACGTGGCAGGGGCCCCCGCTTCTGTGGCTGACGAGCCAAGGAGCGGCTTGTGCCCGGGATCCGTCCTTGGCCTTGGGGACGCCTGGGGCCTTGGCTCCGGATCAAGTTTGTTTTTTTATCTTTTTTATTTTTCTGCCTCTCCGCTGCAGACATGGGAAACAAGGCTTCCAACCCTGTTAGTCCTTCCTCTTCGTTAGGCTGTCTTGTTGAAGCTTTAAAACCTCTCAGTTTAATGCCTTACATAAAGATTCCTAAGCTAACTCGTCTATGTTCTAAAAAATGGCCAAAGTATGCTTTAGAAAACAACAAAAAATGGCCGCCGAGCGGCTCCTTAGATCCCGATATTTTACGGGAGTTATCTAATTACTGTCAGCGCTCAGGCAGATGGAAAGAGTTGCCCTATGTCATAGCGTTTTTTCTTTCTCAGTGCTAAACCATCTCTTCTGGATTCCTTCTCTCCTGATCATATGCTCCTGGCTATGCCTGAACCGGAGGATTCTCTGACTCCGGAATCTCTGACTCTAGATCCTGCTAACGAACCTCCACCTATTCAACCTCCAGCTCCAACTCCTAGAACAACTGTTCCTTCCGCTCCCCTTCCGGATTCTTCTTCTTCTAAAGCTGCTCCTTCCTCGGCAGCGGCCGGTTCCAAAGGCCCTGCCCTAGCTCCAAACTTCACTCCTCCTATCACCCGCTCTCGGACTGCTAAATTGTCGGATTCCAGCCATCCAAAACTTTCCACTGTTCTCCCTTTGCAGAGGTGACTGATGTGGATGGACTGATTAAGGTTCATGTTCCATTCTCTCTAGCAGAACTCTCTCAGATAGAAAGTAAGCTGGGTTCTTATACTTTTAATTCTGCTGCCTTTATTAAACAGTTTCAATATATAACTCAATCTTATAATCTCACCTTTCATGATATATTCATGATACTTTCTAATAACTTACTTCCTGAGGAGCGCAGGCGGGTTTGGGAGCAGGCTAGGATTCATGCAGACGAAATTCATCAAACTAACCTCTCACACCCACCAGGAGCTGAGGCGTTTCCTGACCGAGAGCCACACTGGGATTATAACACCCAGGGTGGCTGTCTAGCCAGAGATAGGTTTATTACCTGTCTCCTGACAGGTCTCCGTAAGGCTGCCCTAAAACCAGTAAACTATGAAAAACTAAAAATGGTTAATCAAGATAAGGACGAAAATCCGTCTCATTTCCTAGAGCAGCTCACCAAGGCTCTACTTCAGTTCACTAGCTTAGACCCGGAGAGCCCTGAGGGCAGGCAGCTGCTAATAACCCAGTTTGTCTCACAGAGCTTCCCTAACATTAGGGATAAACTTAAACGTTTGGAGAACGGCCCTCTAACTCCACAGGCAGATGTGCTGGTGATAGCGTTTAAGGTGTTACATGGTAGAGATGAAAAAGCCCATAAAAGGAGCTGCCAGATGCTGGCAAGCACTGCCCGACCGGCTCCCCGAAAGTCATCTGGTCCCTGCTTCAAGTGTGGGAGAGAAGGCCATTGGGCCCAGGCTTGCACCACCGGCCCATGAAGGGCACCGACAAAGCCTTGTCCAAAGTGTTGCCAAAAGGGTCACTGGTCAGCTGACTGTCCTAATGTCCCAAGCGACATAGGAACGCCAGATGAAGACCACCCTCCAGCTGACTTTGTAGGCTTGGCTTACAGCGAGGACTGCTGCTGCCTGGTTTCTGCCCCGGCCACTCCCATCTCACACAGGGAACCTAGGGTAATTATAAAGGTCAATGGGCAGCCCCATCTCGTTCCTTTTGGACACCGGAGCTACCTACTCTGTCCTGAGAGAGTTTTGGAGGCCCACCTCTCCTGCTCGTCTCCCTATTGTCGGGGTTGGGGACAGCCTTATCTACCTCATCAGACACCACCACTCAGTTGCATTTTCAGAGGCATCCCTCTCACACACACATTCTTAGTGGTGCCAAGCTGCCCTGTACCTTTAATGGGGAGGGATCTTCTAGCTAAGGTAGGAGCGTCCATTTCTTTCGCTCCACACATATTCGCCTCATCCCAGACGCGCCAGCGGCTCCTTTACTTCTCCTCCTAGCCACTCACTCTTCTGACTCTAACAATTCCTTTCCCCTACCAGTCTCTCAGGTAGACACAGTCTCTCAGGTAGACACACAGAGCCGGAGGCAAAAAGGACCATCAAAAATATCCAGGCGGTAAGGAATAATGTAATACAATAATCTATCATTGTTCAATACTCACCAACTGATCACCTGCGTTTCCTAAATGCTAACCTAATAAGGGAAACCGGTGCCTTAAATAAACTACCTCTAATAAGGCTTGTCTCAGATAAAAATTAAGCAGAGTACTAAGGCCAGATCTACCTCAGGTAAATATCACATGTCTCTATCTGGACAGGCCAGATCTACCTCAGACAAATGCCAACTCCAAAATAAAATAATAATGATTCTTTCTCTCTAAGCTTTTTCTATGTCAACAGTGTCTTGTCAAACAGAAGGTTCCTAGCCACAGCACGGAGGGTTCCCAGCCACAGCACGGATAGACAGCCGCAGAACAAGGGGACGGCAGAACTTTATTCCAGGACCTGCCCACCAACATCCCAGGACTTCACAAGATACCCTCTCATCCCCCTGCCCCCCAAGAGCCAACCAACGCCCACTATTCAGCTGGAAGCAGTCTTTGAGAGAAACGTCGCCCCCCATACCCAGGCAACCACAATTTTTTTCTTTTTTAAAAAAGGAAGAGTCAGGGATGAAAGGTTTACAACACGCCCCCACGGTCGGGCGTGTTCGCATATGCCCAACAGACACTTCCACCTAGCCAGTTCCAGGTCAGGATAGCCATTTCCGGGTCAGGGCATCTTGCGTGACCAAGATCCGTGACGTTCCATTGGCTACGTAGGCGCGCAACGTGGCCATGTGATCTACGCGCTTGCGTGTAATAGTGACGCTGATCTGTCCACACCCAGCCTTTAAAATCCGGCGCCATGTTCCCGGTTTCTTCTTCTTCTTCCTCCTTCTTCTCCACACACGTGCTTCCCGCAGGCCTGTTCACTCTCTGTCCCTTTAATAAAACTCTTGTTAGCGGATTCTGTCGTGTTTCGTGGCATTTCCTTGCAGGGTAAGAACACAACGCAGCCGAAAAACTAACAGCTGCTCCAAAGCCTGAAAGCTTAACCAGCCAAATGCTTCTAGTTTCTGGTCCTCATGCCTTATGTACCTTTTTGCTTTCTACCACCACTCCCTGGGATTAAAGGCTGCTTTCTGGGATTAAAGGCGTGAGTCACCATGCCTGGCTGTTTCCAATGCCGCCTTGAACTCACAGAGATCCAGAGGGATTTCTGTCTCTGGAATGCTAGGATTAAAGGCGTGTGCTAACATTTTCTAGCCTAAGTATCTTGTGGCTTTTCTGTTCTCTGACCCCAGATAAGTTTATTAAGGTACACAATATTTTGGGGAACACAATACCACCACATACTCCTAAGCCACCTTTGTGGCAAGGGGAGGAAGGTGACCTGTCCCCTCTGAGAACTGGAGCAGTGATACACTTCACTTACTCCTAAGCCACCTTTGTGCCAGGGGATGGGGGTGGGTGGGGAGGGGGGACGGGTGGGGGTGGGGCGTGACCTCTGGTGCAGTGAGAGACATTTTGAATGACCTCTCCTGGGTGTAGTGATCCCCCCTGGTCTTATTTGGTCCTGGTCTTGTGGAAAACCACAACTAAATGCTCCAAACATGGAGCATCCTTGTGGATCCAGGAGGAGGCTATGGAATCAAGAAGTGTCATGAATAGATCACTCTAGAGAGGAATCCCAGAACCAACTGACACTTGCTTGAGTTGGGCAGCAGTGGCGTCCAGTGATCCTGGTTATCCTCTGTAAACAGGTTTCATAAGCCCAAGCCTAAGTGTCTTACAGATAAGACAATAGTTAATGCAATTCAGGAGTTGGAACAAAGGCATTCTCAGAACTGAGGTTGTGGGGTGGAAATTCCAGTGCTAGGTGGAGGCAGCCTCTGTTGGGAAGGAGAAGCCTGAGGTCCCCCCAAACCACAAATGATGTCGCCACTGGTTTTGGCTGAATGTCAACACTAGAATCACATGCTTCGGTTTCAGACATGGAGGAGTCCAGCAGGAGGTGGGCTGGAGGATCTCTGTCTGCAGACTGGATTTCCAGTGCCAAGAGGCTCAACGCAGGCTGCTGGGGGGGGGATTGTTACAGATGGTCTTGCTTGGTTCCAGACCCTGTGTGCTACACTGTTACACGCCAGAACCATGTACGTAGTGGTACAGTAGTGACATTGTTATGTGTGCCAACAGCTGCTTTCTGATCAAACTGAAGGCCTGTCCCAAAGAGGGAACTCCTAGGGAGTACTTCAGGTCAACACAAAGTCCTGTGGCTGTGGAGGTTATAGGCCCCAGCAAGGAGACGACCACTATTGTTTTATTTTTTTTTATTAAGTATAATGTGTCCACTTAATAAACATTTGTTTATGCCCACGGATGACTGCTGTACCAGCCTCAGTATGAAGGGAGACCTTTCACAGTGGGTGGTGGTTATATCAGGAACTTGTAACTTGTCAAATTGCTGAGAATAAGTGACTGTTCCTTTGGTACAGCCCAATATTGAGTGATAAATAGGAGAAAATAGATGTATATATATACCGTCTGCTCCAAGGCTTAGGAGAGCTGTGGAAGAGGGTGCGTAAAAATTTAAGATCTCGAGTGGGTGGAGTGTTTGGTCTGAATTGAAACATCCTCTCATGGAGGGCTGACAAAGGCTTGGAAGACTCAGGAAAGGGCTCTCATGAGCTCTCCCTAAAGTCACCTAAGCAGTAAACATTTTCTAGCAGAGAGAAGTCTCTTAGGAACCCCAGTGTTGCAGATTTTGTGTGCTTTTACCCATGCAGCGGCGGGCTTTCAATTAATGTAGCTGCCTGGGTCACCCATGTTCTTTTTTTTTTTTTTTTTTTTTTTTTTTGGTTTTTCGAGACAGGGTTTCTCTGTGTAGCTTTGTGCCTTTCCTGGAACTCACTCTGTAGCCCAGGCAGGCCTCGAGCTCACATCACCCATGCTCTTAAGTAACTCCAGTAAACTGTTTCATTAAACTTGACTCGAGAGAATCGTTTCTTTGGTCTGTCCTGGTGTCCTGTACAGTGTCAACAGAGGTTTGTTCACATCCCCGGGGGAAATCAGACACAAAACACTAACACAGGCACAAACAAAGATGGTTATACTCTCACGTTGTACCCACTTGGGTAAGCCACACTTGATCCAAATGACAGGAACAGAGAGGCCAAACAGGTCCAGGATGGAGAGACTGTCAAAGGAGGTAAGCAGTAAGTCCTGGCTCCCGGGGAAACTGTGTGACTCTCCAACTCAATACATTGGGGATCTCTCCTGCTCAGGGACCCTGCTTCTGGAAACACAGCCCCAGAACTGCACCTGGAGCTCCCGGCCCTAGTCCCGGCCCTTCCTCTACACAGGTCGCAGCTCAAGGCCAGTGAATTTGCTGACCCATCAAACGTGCCACACTGATGGCCACTGGCATTCTCTTGCTCTTCTAGTTCCCTCGCCATTACTGTTATGGGTTCAGCACTGCACTTCAGCTGAGAGAAAAGGATGGTCAATGAGTAGAGAGGAAACTTGGCCTGTTGGTATCCTGGCTGCCGTGGAGAGTTATTTCTTTGCGCCATGACCTGTGTTCCCCACAGGGGGAACATCAACTGCCATGTTGCCTACTGAACTGAAGAGGGGACATGGCGCTCCTTACACCCGCAGGGGCCAAAGAGCCATCTCCAGGAGGAGGGGAAGGAATGTCCTCAGTGTTCTTGAGCTAAATCCATATAAGGGTTCTCCATCTCTTCCCAAAGGATGCTAAGATGGGGCCATGCTGTGCTGATGGCTGCATGTATATGTGCGTGGGATTGACATCCCTGAGTCAGAGTGGGCTAAGACAAGGAAGACTTCCTGAGTTGTAGTTGAGCACTGGAGTCATAGACTTGGGAAGTCCACATGATAAACAGGAAGTTGTGCTATAATGCAAGTTAACCTGGTAAAATGGAGGTGCCAGGGTCTGGGGAGACAGAAGCAGGAAGTTGTGGCTGCCAGAGCTCAAGTTGCTTCTTGGGCTGCTGGGAATGCTTGGGATTTGAGAAATATTGTGATGGCACACTTTTGATGGACCAAAGGCCGCAAAGTCTTACAGTGTAACTGTAGGTTAATTTCATGTTGGGTACCTTACATCTAAAAAAAAATTAGAAGGAAATAGAATTGTTGGAAAGGTCTAAACTCAGAGTTAGAATCTCAAAGGTTAGAAAGAGCAAACTCTGAGTGGCTGTGGCCCAAGCCAGTGGCTGCACCACTTTGGCTCCAAGTTGAATCCACCCCCACCAGGCTGTGAAGCCTAGTCTGAATATAAAATGTATACGTTTCTCAACAAAATCTCTGTCCTTAGCATCCATCTTAGGCTTGTGGAGCCCGAGGCATGAACAGTTCTACATTCAGGAGAGCAACTTATAAACGCAAACAGGGTTCACTGGAAGAACCAGGGCAAGGCTGAGAAGGACCTGAAGCTTAAACTCTGTAGCTTGAAGTGTGTGGTTGAATACATCAGGGAGAATTTTGTCCCTCCATAGAGGAATGAAAGCCCTCTGAGACTGTTCCTCATATAAATTGTGTGGTTTATCGAAGCTTCTCAGTACCAAGTATCTTGTTGAGTCCTGGGCTTCCCTCGGAGCTCGGCTGCAAGTCTCCACCCACGGACACAGACTCAAGGCTGAAGGACTGAGGAGGGGATGGCACAAGAGCCGGTTCCCACCCTCATGTAGATGTCCTTAACGCTGTTGGACTATGTACTTGAAAATGGTTGTAGGACTGGCAAGATGGCTCAGCAGGAAAAGGCATTTGTGGCCAAGCCTGGTGACCTGAGTCCCACCTCCAGGACCCACATGATGGAAGGAGAGAACCTACCCCAGCAGGTTTTTCTCTGACCTCCACCACATCGTGGTGCATGCGCACTCACACATATACTCACACCAAGTAAATACATGTAGTACACTTTTAAAACAACTTACAATAAACGAAAGAACAGTTGTGTAGTCAATGCTAGGTATTTTATGCAAGTGGTAAGAGTCAGCCCAGTCATTTTCACCAGTCCCTAACCAAATAAATTAACCAACCAGAAAGCTGGTTGGCTCTAAAGGAAAAGAGTTCAGGGATGAGCATCCTAAAGCACAAAGTAATCAGCAAAAACCCTTCTTTTTATTATTTTCATTTTTCTAATGTTATTTTTATCCATCTATTTATTTTACATCCCAGCCGCAGCCTCTTCCCCACCACCCCACCACCCAATCCTCTCCTCTTCCGTCTCCATCCAGTAAAGGGCAGGTCTCCTATGGATATCACAAAACATGGCGTATCTAGTTGTAGTAACACTAAGCACCTCCCCATGTATTAAGGCTGGCAAGGCAACCCAGTATGAGGAGTAGGGCCCCAAAAGCCAGGAAAAGGGTTGAGACAGCCTGTTAGGAGTCCCACAAGTAGACCAAGCTACACAACTGTAACATATGCAGAGTGCCTAGGTCAGTCCCACACAGGCTCTCAGGTTCTGGGTTTTCAGTCTCTGCAAGTGCCTATGAGCCCAGGTTAGCTGATTGTGTGAGCCTTCCTGTGGTGTCCTTGACCCCTCTGGCTCCTACAATCCTTTCTCCTTCTCCTTCGCAGGATTCCCGAACTTTGCCTAATGTTTGGCTGTAGGTCTCTGCATCAGCCTCCATCAGTTGCTGGATGACTCCTATATGATGATAATTGTGTTAGGCACCAATTTGGAGTTCCTTGATCCTGCCTGGCCTCTGGTAAAGCCAACGACTTCTTCCAAAGTAGTAGCAACAAAGACTCTTCTAAGGCCACACCCTGAACAGTGAATACCTCTGCCAGGCTACCTACCAGTGATTGTTGGTTCAAGTGGCCATGTTCTGATAGCTGAACTTGAACTTAGATCTTACTATTTGTGGTCAAGGACATCTGATTCACTAAGTCTTACGTAACCCTCCCCATGATCCTTCAAACTTCCCTTGGGGCTGGAGAGATAGCTGAGTTGTTAAGAGAACTTGTTCTTGCAGAAGACCTGGGTTCCATTCCCAACACCATGTCTATGAAGCATTAGTATCCTTGGACTCAGGTGGTTCTCTCACTGCTGCCAGCGTCCATGCATTCAAAGACATTTTATATTTCTATTGGGGTCCTGAAATCTATGGGACTAGACGTCTCAGATTAAACTTAACAAGGCCCATGGGGCCTCTCTCTAGGGTTATATAAGTAGTAAATAGTTGTTGGGGGTGGTGAGGGGACTGTGATGGAGCTACCAGCCTGTGGTTCAGGGATTTCCAATGATCCAGCTTTTATAGATCATGTTCTGTGCTGATGTGGGCACCTGTAAGGAAACCCAGTTAATTCTGGCTCCTACTGTGGTCTGTGCTCACCTAGTGCTCAGAGAAAGTGCAGGAGGGACTGAGGAGACGGCTGAGTGGGTAAGTGAGTGCTTCCCACACAGACAGTGTGGGAATCCACACAGTGTTCAAACACTGGTTTAATAGCAAGAACAAAGATGAGTCATTATTGGGACTGATACAGGCTTTAAGCGAGAGCAATGAAGGCTTACAGGAAAAGATTCTATCTCTGGAATCTGCTTTAACGGATAGCAATGAGACCTTAGAGAAAAAGATTCTTTCTCTGGAATCTGCTGATCAGGATTTACAAAACAGGCTTGTACCAAAAATTGATCTTATTGATAATAAATGTGAATATTTAATGGACAGAACACTAACTCTCCAGACACTATATAAGGAAGAAAGATTATCATTAATTGATAAGATAAGGTCCATGGAATCATGTGTTTCTGAGGAACATAAAAACTTCTATGATTCCATGAGAAATCTGGAGTCCCTTGCCAGAGAGGAGGTTCACTCCATAGAACAGACTCTAGGTGCTCATTTGCAGGCCTTAGAAGAAAAAAAAAAAGAAAAAGAAAAGAAGAAATGGAATGGATAGGTATAAGATATTATGGTAGATTATTATGTATACTAGTAAACAAATTTAGTAAAATAGTAGCCTTAAATAATTTGCACTGTTATGGGTTCTTATATGTTGATACAAATGTAAACTATTTTTATATTCCTGTTTAAGATAATTTGTATATTGATACAAATACGGAACTATATTTGTTATAATGTACATATATTTTTACTCTTATTTGAAATACTTGTATATTGATACAAATGTAAATTTATATCTGTCATACTTTATGTAGGTTCTACTTCTGTTTAGGATATTCGGTATATTGATATATATTTAAGATTATTGTCATATTGCATATCGCACTATATACTCCTACCTCTGTTATAACATCTTGTGTATTGTCACAATTTTGAAGTCATCGTTCTTTACCATACACTTGCTTATAGACTGTTTACCTTGTTTACGTGAAGCCTTAGTCCTTAGGTTATTTCGGTAGATAAGACTTATAGATTTATAGTCACCTATGCTTGTCATCTCTATAGTTACGTTAGTTAGGTTATCCAGATTTACAGATACATAGGTCAGATTGACAGGTAATCTTCAAACACTTCATAGACCTAGAGAATATGGCATTTAAATAACTTAGAATTCTGTTGATGTGAGACATAATTGCTCCTGGCTGCACCAATTTGATCCCGAGAGAATGTTGGGCTTCTAAGACATTTCCATTTGGAAGTTTGTCTTCTTGGCACAAAATGGCCTACTGGGCAAAGAACTGCCCTTGCCTCGACGGCTGACCGTACTAATGCAATGCTATCCTTTCTGGACAAGCGGGACACAAGGAAAGCGACCACTGTACTCTGCCAAGACAGGGTAAGATGGTCTTTCAGAATTCCTGCTTCTGAAAATGGTCTGTCAGATACTTTAGGCCTGTAGCCAATTTGAATGCACCAACAATGCTGAGAAACATTAGGTGACTGTCCAGGCTGCCAGCTGTCTCTGTCTACTCTCGCAAGATTCCCGAAAGTTGCTTGCATCCATCTACCATTTCTCAGGTACCATTATATTCCTTCTCAGGTCTTTGATGGGATTGAAGACTAGCAGTTATAGTTACAACTTAGTAGATAGAACATATTAAGTATTAGATTCAGGTTCTTTAGGATAGGACACCTTTTGGAATGATCTTTGTAACATGCCATTTACCTATGCTCTATACTTCTCTGGACTTTAGTATGTGTTTCTTGCTTGATATTGTTTGCATTGGTTGTAGTTCCATCTTATCTAGGTCATTATCCCTCATTATTCCTGGACAATATTTGATAACCATTCCTTTGTATATAGTCTTGTATTAGGTAAGAACTTTCTTATTTAGACAAAAAGGGGGAGATGTAGTGGGTAGCCATTCCAGCTTTGATCTGGAAGTTCCAACCCCCATTGAGACTTCGGCAACTGTCACGCCTACAAGGCGGGGCCAAGGAAGGCGCCGGGGGACCCGAGAGCTGGATCGGCGGGCGCTCTCTCTGTTGCGGGACCCTGGATAGTGGAGGTGAACCAAGCAGAGCTCCAGAGAACACCACTGGACTGTGATACACCTTCCCCAGACTCCGCGACCTACCTATTCCTTAATTTGTAAGTTACGCCATTAAATAAATCTCCTTTTAACTACGTGGAGTGGCCTTAATAATTTCACCAATACCCAAGCTCAGCTACACAGTCCTATAAAAAGTCAGCTGCTGCAGCACGTAACTGTAATATCAGTGCTGGGGAAACAGAAAGAGGCAGATCCCTGAAGCATAGGAGCCACTCAGTCTAGCCAGTGAGTGAGTGAGAAACACTGTCTCAACACATGGGGAAGTAACTAAAGAATACATCCAGTGTGGACTCCTGGCCTCTACATGTACACTGCCACAGACGAGTACACACACACACACACACACACACACACACACACACACACACACACTTTCAATGTATGGGCATATGACTGAGACTCCAGGGGTTGACAGTTCCTATAGCGAGAGTGCCTTAGTGTCCACCGCCAGAAGAAATGAATGCTACATGGTGTACATATGTGGGCATGGAAAGAAGCTTTGACAAAATCAGGACCCTGGGGTCCAAATATTCTGAGTCCTGCTGCTCAGCTCTCTTGTTGAATTAAATATGAGAGACAGAAAAGACAAAGAGAAGGATTGTCATAGTGCTAGGAGTTCAGAAACATTGAAGAGACTGGCAAACTCCAATGAACTCTTCATTGACTTCTGACATATGGGAGATAGTTTGTGAAGGGGACCCCAGCTCCGCCCCGCACAGCAGGGGCTTCCTCCAGACCCTGGATTAAACACAAACCACACCCAAACACCAGTTTTCACAGAGAGATCCTTTATTAAGCAGGGAAGAAAGTTAAAGTGGCCGCTTTCTGACTCAGGCAGAAGACAGCAGCCAGTGACCTTGCAGGTGTAATGAGGAGAAGAAGGGGAGGTCTGTGTTAGAATGGGCTGGGATGGGGTGGGAAAGGAGAGAAGGGGAAGGGGACAGGGAAAGAGGGCAGGGGTATTTGTCCCAGAGGGACAAAGGACTGCCTCTGGGTAGAGGGGGGACAGACGTGGCACATAGGAAAATGGCGGTTTATAAAGGTAAAATGGGAAACCTCGTGTTAGGATGAGGTGTTTATTTTTAATTGGGCATGTTAATTAGGTGAGCCAAAGGGGGCTTTTGATTGCTGGACTTCAATACATTGATAGCTGGACCTTGGTAGTCAGCCTCAGGAGGAGGAAGTGGCCAAATAAGGGATTGGACCTTGGTGGCTAGCTTTAGAATGTAATCGAATGGTTTTTAGAAGGCAGAGGGAATGGGGAGAAGGGCAAGCCTGCCAGAGCCACACGCTCGAATGGCTGTGTCCATTCAGTTTGTGTCCCTCATCCTATTCATTTCCAGAGGAACATACATACACTTGTTAATGGGACCCCAGTGGGGCCTTGAATTCCATGGTTACCCTGGCTTCCTGGAAGGCCATGCAGCTCAGACAAGACCTAGAGCCAGAGGCCACAGGACCTAGGTCCCTCTTTCTAACTCTGACCACATGTCCTGCCTATGATTTCCGACATCCCTTTGGTAGGTCCCTTCCTCATTCTTTTTTTTTTTTTTTTTTTTTTTTTTTTTTTGAGACAGGGTTTCTCTGTGTAGCTTTGTGCCTTGAACTCACTTGGTAGCCCAGGCTGGCCTCGAACTCACAGAGATCCGCCTGGCTCTGACTCCCGAGTGCTGGGATTAAAGGCATGCGCCACCACCGCCCCAGCTCCCTTCCTCACTTTTAATCTGTCACCACCCAGTCCTAAACTGAGATTGTGACAGTGATGCCACAATGAGATGCTTTGGAAAGGGCTAACCTGAGAGTTTGATTCTTATTTCTCGTCTTGGTAAACCAGCAACAGAGGCATATTCTCCAAAGATGAATAAGTTCATGGGGAGCCACCGATCATTGCTGTTGTATCCCCAATTTTAGATCAAAGAATTCTTAGAGGTAGTAGTGTTGCAAAAGTAAAAAAAATCTTTATCTCAGCTGGGGCTCTTCAATCCCCACTGGAATAGGAGAAGAGCAGAGGCAATATTGGGACACACAGACAGTATATCGGGAATACAGAGATGTTGGGTTCAACCATACGTGAACCAGTTAGGACCGACAAAACGTTCACAAAAATCACAAAAGCAGGACTGCACATTTACAAAGGAGTTTAAGGTCAGCCAATTAGAACAGGCAGTGCGTTTACAATCTTAAGATTAGGACACATTTGATGTTGTGTGCTAATCACCGGTGTGACAGGTTTTACTGCCTCATGCTTTACCATGGCTGAGGTTATAACCCCACTGGGACAGGCTTTACATTTCCATGTTTTATAATTCCTAAGGCAAATACTTTATCTCCTGCTTTACTTAGGGAGATTCAAGTAATCCTTTAGCAAACACTGGGCGTCAGGCCAGATCCTGGTGAGGAATTTAACTCTTTCAATTGCAAAGTACATGTGTGTCTTGCCAAACTGTGCTTTCCGATGGCTGAGGCAGGGAGAAGGGTTTCTTAGATTTTTTTGTTGTGTGACAAAACTTTTCCTGAGGAGATGCAATGCACGTTGACTCACCTCAGATATGGAGTCCATGACAGACCAAAGTACAGATATCCCCAAGGTCCAACTTGATGAACTAGTGAGTTTTATTGTGGGCTACTTACCGGAATATGGACGAGGGGTGCTTACAGGAGCAGAAATGACTCGCACACAGGCAGTACAACAGTTTGGAGAGTTCTTCCAGGCAGCTCGGCAGGTTTCTGCTTTTTCTCAGCAGCTGGTCTGGTCTGAGTCTTCTTTGAAGCTTTATTGCTTACTCTTGCCGGGGAAGATGGGGTGAATCTGGTCAGTTTCAGGAACTTCCTGAAGCTGTTGTGAGTTGTTTACCTTCTTGCTTAAGGAGCTTCCCTGCAGGATGGCATGTTTCAATCTCAGACAAAACTGTTTAAAACATATTTTGTGCACAAGTCTTTGACTATATGTATGTATATACATACCCCGTGGTTGCCTGGTGCCCATGGAGGTCAGAAGATGTCAGATCCCATGTAATGGTTGTAAGCCACTATATGGGTCCTGGACACTGAACCTAGAGAGAAACAAGTACACTTAACAACTCGGCCATCTCTCCAGCCCCAAAGGAGGTTTTAAGGGTCATGGGAAGGGTTACATAAGACTTAATAAATCAGATATCCTTGATCACAAATAGTAAGTTCAAGTTTACCTATCAGAACATGGCCACTCCCACCTCGAACCAACAATCACTGGCAGGTGGCCTGGCAGAGGTATTCACTGTGCAGGGTGTGGCTTCAGAAGGGTCTTTGCTCAGTACTTCTTGTTTAGGGGCACACATCCCTGAGCTCTTTCCTTCAGAACTAACCAGCTTACTGTATTAATTTGTTGATTTGGTTAGGTACTGAAGAAAATGACTGCATTGACTCAGACAACTTGTACAACATACCTGGAATTGACTAAACAATCGTTTTTTTTGGTTGATTGGTTGTTTTCGAACATTTATTTATTTATTACATTTATTTACTTTGTGTGGTACCTATGAAATAATCCACAGGAGATAGTTATTGGCAACCACACTGATCGAGCAAATTAGAAGTGTTGAGTCCTTTTTTTCATTGACAGACAGACCAAGAAGAGTGAGCTCAGGCCTCTGAAGAGCCTCTTGGTGCCCAAGCTCAGGGTTACAGTTTTTAGAGGTGAAACCATAATTATATCAGTACTCAGGAGGGGCAGGTATTTCGAGGGACTCAGAGCAGTCCTTTTCAAGGCCCGTGGTCAAGGTCACAGACAGTCCTTGAAGCATTGCCAAGGCAGATGTGGCTGGTGCAGGGTGGAAACCCGAGACGTGGCTATGCATACATAAAATAAATTGGGACAGGATGGCATGGCCTCAGCCATTTCACCTGTGGGCGATTGTGGGCCTGCAGAGGCCAGACAGCAACCCGCTGGACTGGCCTGGGCTGCATGCCTTGTCACTGGCTGCAGGGTGATGCAACTGTTCCTCTCAGATTCACCTTTGCTTACTTTCTATTAGTGCCAAGATATGTTTCCTCACAGACCACAACACCAAAAACAGACCAAAAAAGAAAAAAGGGGTTTGGAGAGATGGCTCAGCAGTTAAGAGCTCTGGCTGTTCTTCCTGAGGTTCTGAGTTCAATTCCCAGCAACCACATGGTGGCTCACAACCATCTGTAATGAGATCTAGAGCTCTCTTCTGGCCTGCAGGCATAACACTGTATACATAATAAATAAATACATCTTTTTAAAAAAAAAAGGAAAGAAAAAGAAAAAGGAAAAGAAATTTCACCTAACACTACTGCCTTAGTCAAGGAAACTCTTAGAAATCATTTAATTGGAAGCATATTTACAGTTTCAGAGATTTAGTCTATTATCATCATTGTGTGAGGGAGCATGACGGCATGCATGGCGCTGGAGCAGTAGCTGGCAGCTACATCCTGCTCCTCAGGCAGAGACAGACTCTTAGCTTGTATGAGCCTTTGAAACTTGCAAGTGCACCCCTAGGGACACATTTCCAAACCTTTCAAATAGTGCCACTCCCTAGTGACCAAGTATTCAAATCTATGAACCTATGGGGGCCATTCTCATTCAAACTACCTCAACTACCTTGGTGAATTGTTGGCAGAAGTTTCTGTCCTGTCCGCCAGCTCCCAAATAACCAAACAGAGACTTAATATTACTTAAAAATGCTCAGCCACTAACTCACCCATACACAGAAAATAAAAATAGAGAAAAACAGAACAAAATAAAAACATTGAGGTCTTTAAATATTAAGTATGTGCTGGGGTCTGGGGCTGGGAATATAGCATATGCACTTTCCCAGCAGATATGAGGTCCTAAGTGCTATAATAATAATAATAATGTTCTACGGTACATTTAGAATATATTATGGAGTTATTATCTAGATATATACTTTTAAAATTGTCCTCTTCCCCATCAAGATGGGCATCCACCTGCAAGAAACCCACTGGGCAAATGTTTCTGCTAGCCATGAGTGTGCACCTCATTGGGTCTCTGGGAGGAAGAAGGCTCTGGCCTATGTGACCACATACATTTGAAGACATGCCTGAGGGAGGTCTCTGTACAGGAGCTGTCCCAGAACCGAAGGGCATAACTTCCTTTTTAGGTAGCCCCCTTCCATCTATTCCACTCTGACAAAGAGAGAACAGTGTGTCAGCGTCTCACTGAGGTATCCATCCCTGCTGCTGGTAAAGGGCACCTGTTAGGACTACTGTCCTTCTGTCTTAGTTAGGGTTTTATTACTGTGAAGAGACACCATGACCACAGCAACTCTTATAAAGGAAAGCATTTAATTGGGGCTGGCTTACAGTTTCAGATGTTTAGTTCATTATCATCATGGCGGGAAGCACAGCAGCATGCAGGCAGACATGGTGCTGGAGAAGGAGCTGAGGGTTCTACGTCTTGATCCTTAGGCAGCAGAGGGAGACTGTGTACCACACTGGGCATAGATTGAGCATATATGAGAGCTCAAAGCCCGCCTCCCCACAGTGGCACACTTCCTCCAACAAGGCCACACCTGCTCTAACAAGGCCACACCTCGGGGTTGGGGATTTAGCTCAGTGGTAGAGCGCTTGCCTAGCAAGCGCAAGGCCCTGGGTTCGGTCCTCAGCTCTGGAAAAACAAACAAACAAACAAACAAAAAGCCAAACAAACAAAAACAAACAAGGCCACACCTCCTAATAGTGCCACTCCCTACGGGTCTATGGGGGCCATTTTCTTTCAAACCAACACACCTTCAGCCAGCCCTGCCCTTGTTGTGATGTACTTTGGGCCTCGTCTGGTGCTCTGCTGAAAGAAATCCAGAGGCCACCCACCTGGGACTCATCTCTTCTCATCCCATCCAGCCCAGGGTTTTAAGGACAATCTCCTGAGCCAGTGTCTCAGCCGTCTGTGTCCCTCCTTTAAAGCCCTCAGGGCAGCAGGGTCTAGTCCTGGACTAGCACCTCCAAAACTCTGAGCCAAAACAAACCTTTCACTTTGCGGGTGACTTGTCTCAGGAACTGAATGACAGTGATGAGGAGCTGACCACCACAGTGAGAGGCAGGACCTACACCCAGGTTGCTCCGAAGCCAGCATGCTGTGGCTACAGGCCTGAACAGGATGAGCACAAGTTTGACAGGAAGGGAGGGAAGGTTTGGGGAAACTGGGCAGCTGGGAATAGACCCTGTCCTCAAGGAGGTCCCAGGCAGAGCACCAACGCACTCTCCCTCCACCCCCCAATCTCTTCCAGGCCTCCCACCCCAACACGCCAACCCCAAGTGAAGGCTGAAAAGTGGCCTCTTGCTGCTCTGGCCCTGGCAGTACAGAGGGCCAGTCTCTAGGACACAGGGAAGGAGGGAAGAAGGGAGGGAGGGAGGGGAAGGTGCTGGCCCAGGTACAAAGGGCTGTGAAGGCATCTTGGACAGGCAGTTGTGATGCATCTACATTTTGTCCCCAAAGCAACTGACCCAGAAGGCCATGCTTCCCTCTCCATGGTGACTGAATGGAGATGCAGGGAAGCCAGAAAAACAACCCAGATCCAGGAGTGGCCATGAGCCAGCACAGCTCCAGGCTGCTGAGCAGGCACAGGTTGGCATGGGGTGAAGTGGAGGGTGGCAGCAGGAGGCCACAGACAGCCTGTGAGCCATGGGATTCTCCTCAAATGAAGCTGGGTTCTGAATGGTGGGTGGGCTGTGCCAAAGACACCTCCTCCATACTGACTCACAGCCTTGCTTGTCCTTCCCAAGCCTGGGAGCAACAGTGACCCCTGCTTTACACAGCCCCTCCTCCACACTACCCCTGCTGGCTTTTCATCCAAGGTCAAATACATGTGACCCATGAAACAACTCTGACTTTTCTGTCTTTCTCTTTCCTTCCTTCTCTCCCTTTCTTTCTCTCTCTCTCTCTCTCTCTCTCTCTCTCTCTCTCTCTCTCTCTCTCTCTCTCTCTCTCTCTCTCTCTCTGTGTGTGTAGGTTGCTGTTCCAGTGTAGGTACACACCCATATAGGTACAGAGGTTAGAGGTCAACCTCAGATGTCATTTCTCAGGAGCCATCTACCTTCTTGTTGTGGTGACAGAGTCTCTCACTGGGACCTGGGACTCATCTACTAGGCTACACTGGCTGGCCAGAAAGTCCTAGGGATCCTCTTGTCTCCGCCTCCTCAGAGCCAGGATTACAAGGGCAGGCCACCATGCCTGGCTTTTTACCATGAATGCTGGGGATCCAACTCGGGTCCTAATGCTTGTGTGGCGAGTGCTTTTCTGACTGAGCCATATCCCCAGCCCCTACATCCCCTATCCCCAGCACTACATTCCAGCTAGAAATGGGCAGTGTTTGTGAAGCCAGCACAGGCTCTGGACTTACCTGGTTCATGTGGAGAACGCTGCTCCTAAATGGGCTTAAAACTACCCCCTTGAGAGACATGGGCGCTTCTGCTAACTTCTTCCTGGGAAATAGCAACAGTTTATTCCTTTTCTTGGTCAGAGGCTCACAAGGATTGAACACATCCCCAGGAGAGAAGTAAACGCTTCACAGATCATCTTTATAACACTCATATGAATAAATGTACATATCAACTGCACAGCAATGTGGCAGTCCAAAGCGGAGAACGTGTTTAGTAACTGGCATTGCTCACAAGCTTGCTGGGGGGCAGCCTTGCCCTGCTCTGGCATTAGGGGTACAGACAGCAGCATTCTGGTATTAAAAACCACTAGGGAGTTTGTGCCTTTTCTCAGTCCCGCTCTTTCCGTTATGGGGAAGCCAAGTTCAATGCCAGGATCCCGCAGCTACAGTGAAAGTAAAGAACTAATTATGGAAAATTGTCCTCTGACTTCACATGCACACCGTGGCACACTTGTTCTCCATCTCCCCCCAAATAAGATAAAAAGGAAGTGAATCTGGGTGTGGTGACTAGTGCCGATAATCCCACACTTGATTGTTTGGAGGGTGCTGCTTTGGGAAGAGACAGCGTTCCAGTAGAACTGAGGGCCACTAAGGGAAAGCCATCGCCTCCTGAAGAAAGAATGGGCGTGTGCCATCATTTGCTAGCTTGAGGGTTAATCCAGGGCCTGGAGAAATGGTTCAGTGGATAAGTGTACTGGCTGGTGGTCCAGAGGACCCAGGTTCAATTCCTCTGCAATCTGACCTCTGGACAAATACACAGACACGCGTGAAGGCTAAACATCTATCCACAAACTACTACTAAAAATAAAATAACTTCCTTAAAATAGAGTTAATCCAATTGTACCTGTTCATTACCTGTCCAAGGGACCATCCCTCAGGATGGTGGATTTACCTTAGTGCTCACTGATGAGATAAGAGGAGTAATTAATTAGCCCTTTAATACGGTAGTGTACCTTTCTTCTCCAGAATCCTCGGCCCTTAGTGCAGTCTCTATGGCAGCAATGAGGTTGCCTTGGGTCTGCCCCTCTGTCCCCTTATGGTGCTGACCAGCGCCTAAGTATATGTTTGCTGGTACCCTGGGCTTCCTTACTCTTTCTATGATGCCCCATTTCCCATCATGTGTCTGCTTCTCTGCCTTGTGGCTGACCTCCACACCAGGTTAACTCAAATGGCATGTCTGTCTTCCTCTTAAGCTTCTAACTACAAAGCTATAATCATCCTGTCTCTAAAACTCATCCTCTGTGGTCCACATATTTCAGTCTTGGAATTCTCGAGACAAGTACCCAAAAGTCACTGCCTAGAGGTGCTTTTGTGACTGTCAAGTGTTCCAGGACCCTAGTCCCCCAAGCTAAGAAAGTCTCTATTGTTCTCAACACCACCACAGAATTCCCCTATCAATTATGTTTAATCTGTAGGTTTGAAAAAAAAAATTCTTTTTTTTTAAATTTTTTTTTTAGACAGTCTTTTGCTACATAGCCCAGACTGGCCTCATACTCTCAATCCTCTCTTGCCTCAGCCTCCTGAACACTGGATTACAGGTGTCTTCCACCATGCCTAGCTTGAATTTTTTTTTTTTTTGAGACAGTGTTTATCTGTGTAGCCCTGGCTATCTTGGAACTCTTTAGATCAGGCTGGCCTTGCACTCACAGAGATTCATCTGCCTCTGTCTCCACAGTACTGGGATTGAAGGCATATGCCACCACCCTCTGGCTTGATTTTTTTTTTTAAGTAAACAGAATGAGTGGGTTTCCTCCATCTTAGTATCTTGTGCTATAGTGAAAACTAAACAGTGCACACAAAGCATGGAGCACCGGAAGCCGTCAAGAAAGTGAACGAGGCACTGGGGTCCCGAGGGTTTACCTCTGCACTCTTTATCATATACCACTGTCTGTTCTCCACTGTTGGCGTGAAGGAGACAGGTGAACAGTATCTGTCATGTCCCTGAGGAAGCTTTTAAGCCACTCCGCCACTGTCCCCAGAGCTTCTGTCACTTGTGAGGTTTTGACCCAGGAACTGGGCTAAGAAGCCCCCACCAGACAGGGCTCCTGAGGCACTGTTGTGGGTTTTCTTTTGGATGTAATGAACTAGTGAGCTTTAGAGACTGGCTGTCACTGTGTTGTGGGTGCCCACCAGAGGAGACTGCTCAGACATGGTTTGAACCAACAGGAAGTCTTCATTAGTCAGTCGTCGACTATACTGGGTGCTCGGGATCCTACAGTATCCCCAAGCCTTCCTCGGGATGAGCTTCTAAGCACAAAAACCATGAAAACCATGTCCTAGGTTGACATCATTTGGTTAATAAGAACAGTTATCCAGAAGCAGAACAGAAGCTAAAAAGCAGCGTTAGTACATTTTGAGACTCCCAGAACTTTATTAATGGATTAGGCCTTTGTTTTAGTTTTGGCAGATGGTGCATATAAATTTTACAGCCTGAATGGCACTTCCATCATGGAGTCAGTTGTGCTAAGGTTTTGGTGCCTACCAAGGTCTGGGGCCTTGTTACAATTGTAGCCTGTTACAACACACAAGCACACATACACACACTCACTTTTATTTTAGGGTGCATAACGCTGATACTGACCACCTAACCATGCTTTGTGTGGTGGTTTGAATGAAAATGGCCCCCATAGGCTCATAGGGAATGGGACTATTGGGAGGTGTGACCTTGTTGGAAGAAGTATGTCACTGGAGGTGGGCTTTGAGGTTTCAGAAGCTCAAGCCAGGCCTAGTGGCTCACTGTCTCCTCCTGCTGATTGCAGATCAAGATGTAGAGCTCTCTGCTACCTCTCCAGCACCATGTCTGCCTGTGTGCTGCCATGCTTCCCTCCATGGTGATAATGGACTAAACCTCTGAACTGTTAAGCCAGCCCCAATTAAATATTTTCCTTTAGAAGAAAGTTGCCATGGTCATGGTGTCTCTTCACAGCAATAAAAGCCTAACTAAGACACTCTGATACTAGGAATTGTGGGGCATGACCTCTCACCTTTCAGCTGGTGGCAAACAAAGCAAGTGCAGCTGCCAGTATGGCTAGAGAGCAGCCTAGGACCCAGTGGTGGGAGGAAGGCGACACTGAGCACAGAGTGTCAGAAGAAGCACAAGGTCCAACATGCCTTCAAGATGGATTGGGACTGAGGCCACTGGGTTTGGGAGAAGCCACCAAGGATATGAGGGCACAGAGGGTCAGTAAAACCCATGAGCCCTTCAGTTTAACTTCTGTTTCTTCTGGAGGTGATATGACCCAGAATCTGCATGGCCACAATCACAGCCTCTGCTCCTTCAGGCTGTGTTTAACTTTGGCCCCTAGTTTAACTTTGCTTAGCATTCACATGTTAGAGACAATATCAAAATGTCCTAAGACAGAGTGAGCCATTGTTGTGTGATAATATTCCTGGGAAGACACAATACTGTAAGGGAATTGTATTGGCTCAGGACCCCCAAGACCAAGTTCTCAGCACAAAGGAGATTTATTTGCCCCAGAGGGACAGAGGGCAGGGAGTAAGAGACAAAGACAGGAGATAGAGGATGAGGGAGAAGGGGAAGGGAACAAGGGAGAGGGGGCAGGGATACCTGTCCCAGAGTGGGACAAAGGACTGCCTCTGGGTAGAGAGGAGACAGACATGGCACATAGGAAAATGGTGTTTACAAAGGTACCGGGGGAACCCCAAATTAGGATGAGGTGTTTCATTTTAATTGGGCATGTTAATTAGGTGAGCCAAAGGGGGCTTCTGATTACTGGACTTCAATACTTTGATAGCTGGGCCTTGGTAGTCAGCCTGAGGAGAAGTGGCCAAATAAGGGAATAGACCTTGGTGGCTAGCTTTAGAATGTAATCGAATGGTGTTTTAGCAAGGCAGAGGGAATGGGGGAAGGGCAATGCCTTCCAGAGCCATGTTTGTCATGCTCAGACTGGCTAGAGTCCCTTCAAATACACACACACACACACACACACACACACACACACACACACACACACACGCCTACTTACCACAGACAGAGCTGAAAACAGGCCAAAGTACAGACACCATTCAAAGTCCAGCTTAGTGAACCAATGAGTTTTATTGGGTCACGTACAGAAATATTGGTGAATGGTTACTTACAGGAGCAGGAATGGTTCAAAAACAGCTGCATCATCAAAACCCACCCCATCGTGGGTGACAGATCACAAAAACAGGAAAACCTGAGTGAATTGCATACCAATACTTCAACAGGCTGCAGAGTATTCTTTCCAAATGGCTCAGTAGGTCTGAATCTCTTCTAGGTAATTTGACTGATCTCCACTTCTCTCAGGTAGTTCAACTTGTCCTCGAGTCTCCCAACAGTCTACTTATTGCTCATATATTCTTATATGCTTGAGGAGGAAGCATAGTCAATCTAGTCAGTTTCAGGGACTTCCTGAAGTTCTTGAGTTGCTTAATGCTTGAGTTTAAGAAGCTTCCAGCAAGCCGAGTATTTCTCCTCTCCTTGCAGCATTTCATTGTTTTGCCTCCCTATAAACATCCTGTGTTGGAAACTGCTATGTAACACCCATTTTCTCCCGAGCATCATGAGAATGGTTAACCTGGAACCCTAGCTTGAAGATCCCGAAACATCACAGCCTCCACCAGGACCTGGGTTGCAGCCTCTGGTTTGCCATGAAGAATCTGCAGGCAGCACTTAGAGGCCACCCCTGAGTTTCCAAAACTAGCCTCTCCCTACATGAGCTTAGACGTTGTGCTGTGCCCTCTCTGCATCTCTGAGGCCGACCTCCTGCTCATTGCTGTCTGAGTAGTGCTGACCCTGGTCACTCCTGCCCCCAGTGCACCTCAGAGTGGTGCAGATTTCACTGTCTGGCCTTTGTCTTACTGGACAGGCCATAGGCACGCTGCTCTTGCTGATGTCTCCTCAGCCAATACTGCACAAGGCCTCTAGGTCCACAACATTGTGGGCAAACAAGACCCCTTAGTAATTAAAAAAAATATATATCTTTTGAACCTGTCCCTAGCTCAGCTATATGTCAGGGTTCCTCTTGGGAACCAGCACTGAGTGTTAATTTCTAGGACATCTGGTTGACCACAGGCTTCTGCAGCATGCAGTCTGCACACGGGGGACCCTTGTTTTGCCAAGACCATCCACAGGTCTCTATGCACAGCTCCTCTTTCTGACATGACTGACTCATGTTTCAAGTGAACAAAGACAAATATGGTTTCCCCACCACGGCTGTCATTTAGCATCCCAGCTAAAAGCATATTCATAGCCTCACGTGCACCTGGAATGTGATGTCTACTGCTTGGATGGGATGTGGGTCCTGTATAACCAGGTCTCTACTAGTACCAGCCACTCCTTCACTCGTGAACCATCCTTTCCCAAGGTGCCTTGGTCCTGCCTCAGGAGCATCCCTGCTTCTGTCTGTTCACCCTGACGAGCTGCCCTCACTGCTCAGGAGACCAGCCATCCTTCTTCTATTCCTCCTCTATCTCAGCATCATCGCCCTCTGGTCCTTGACACTGCTGTGAGGCTGTCCTGCTTTCCCTTGGCCCCAAAGCTCCCGTGCAACTCCCTCTAAGTAAGAACTCACTGTAGCCTCCTCTCCACCTGTGCAGGGAATCATGGGAAGGGACAGCAGGACCTTGCCAAGCCTTCAGGTCACAGTTGCAGGTAGAGGAGGAGGCTTGCTTCCACGGGGACAGCTCCTTGGAGAAGGGTGTCCCTCTGATTTGCTCTTGCCTGTGAGGCAACCCCTCTGCTAAGATATGTGAGATGGATGAGTAGTCTTCCATGCTCTCAGCAGCTCCCAGAGCTCACATGGTCGTCCCCTGTCCAGGGCCTGTCATCCCGGAGGCAGCACTTCTGGCCTGAAAAGGCAGTATAGCAGGTAAAGCCATGTGATAGTTGAAGGGGCGGGGCCAGAGGGTACTGCAGACCTCAGGCATTCATTGTCCTAGAACAAGTGCAGGCAAGCTTAGACAGGGAGAAACTGGGCCACAAAGGGCTTTGCTGCTGAGCCAATGGACCTGAACTCTTGTCAAGGACATGCGAGCTCCAGGTGAGTTGCTGTTGCATAGAAGGTATGCACATGGGACCAGGATGCCTCAGAGAGGGCCACCAAGGGTGCTGTGTGTGAGACAGTGTGACCTGAATAAATCAGGGAGAGAGGTGGGAACCCTGTCACAAGGTTAAGGACTCAGGGACCACCTCAGGCCTGCTTTTCCTCCCGGATTAGCTCCAGGGGGATCAGAAAGTGAGTGGACAGGTCCTTTCTCCTCTGTCATGTCTAGGTCTTGATCTTTGGTTTATGATTACCCCGGAGTTAGCCAATGAGGCACCAGCCCAGGTTTTCTCCCCGGAGGGGGGCAGGTCCTAGCAGGTTCTTCTGAATGTCGAGTCTACAGTGTCCAGGGATTCTCTGCTCTGTGCTACCAGGTGAAAGAACAGGGCAAGGCTGGGGGTCTCTGTGGGCCTGGAGCTCCTCAGCCTTCCTGGGGACTCATGGCGGGAAGGCATGTGTTTGGCTTGAGCTGTTATTTTTCACTAAGTTAAACCTTCTAATCAAAGGGAAGAGGTTTTTCTGAAACTTGTGCTTGGGAACCCAGGATTCCACAGTGTGTGGACCCTAAAGAGGAAACAGCTGGATACCAGATTTCCTACCACAGGAAACGGTCTCAAGGCACCAAAAGTTCAGAGAGCCTGTGACTAAGTGAGAGTAATGGGGAAGAGACTATATACTTACACACTACACATAGGCCACCATGTTACATCCTCATAGTCACACAGGAAACCAAGTGTTATTTTACTGTATTTAAAGAGGAAGACCTAAAGACTCAGAGAGGTGAAGGGTGTGACTAAAGTCACAAAGTTCGAACGGGAGAAACCAAAGGAGTGGTCAGGTGTTAGTGACCTCACACTTCATTCCAGTGATGCCCTGTTGCTTCCCGGGTGACATGAGAAAACACTGGAGTAAATTTTACATAGCTCCGAGAAGGCCCAGGGCAGGGTCTCAGGGTCTCAGGGGACTCACAGGGTTTTGTTGTTGTTGTTGTTGTTTTTGTTGTTGTTGTTTTCCTCTTCTGCAGGGCTTGGAGAAGGTGTGCTGGCAGGTCTGACTGTCCCTTGTGGATGCGAATTTGAGACCCAGAAGTCTCCCCATGGCTTATCACATCCGCCAGTACCAGGAGAGGGACCATAAACAGGTCCTGGACTTGTTCTCTAGAGGCATGGAGGAGCACATCCCCGCCTCCTTCCACCATGCATTGATGCTGCCCCGAACCCTCCTGGTTTTACTTGGGTTACCCATTGCCCTGGTCCTAGTGTATGGTTCCTGGCTGCTGGCCGTTATGTGTGGCTTCCTTCTGCTTCTATTACTGTGGCTCCTTGCCAGACAGCCCTTGAAGAAGTTTGTGGCCATGTGTTTACACACAGACCTGGCTGACATCACCAAGTCCTACCTGAATGAGCTTGGTTCCTGCTTCTTGGTGGCTGAGACTGAGGACCAGGTGGTGGGCATGGCGGCTGCTCGGCCAGTCAAGGATCCCTCATTAAACAGGAAGCAGCTGCAGCTTTTTCACCTGTCTGTGTCCTCACAGCATCGAGGACAGGGAATTGGGAAAGCACTGATCAGAACTGTCCTCCAGTTTGCACGAGACCAGGGCTACAGCGACGTTGTTCTTCGTACCACTGTGCTGATGCATGATGCTGTGGCCCTCTATGAGGGCATGGGTTTTCAGAAGACAGGCAAGTCCTTCTTCAACACAATAGCGAAGCTACTGACTGTCCCTTCAATTCATTTCAGGCTCCTACTCCCTTTGGCTCAGGAACATGAGCTATGATCTTATTTTCCTATACATCTGTCAGCCTTCAGCTCACTGTGCTATCACAGGCAAACCCCAATGTTGCAGTGGATCATAAAGGCGTATTTGTCATGCTTGTTGGAATCTTGTATGTCTGATGGTGGGTAATGGAGTGCTCCATTTCCTCCAAAATCATCTTCCTGTAGAGGACTGTCAGTGACCGCTAATGCAGTGGGGTAGTTTCATGGTCTGACCAGCCTGTGTGGTCCATGCTGACACTGACTAGACCCAGTCTTGTGGACCAGCATGACTAAGTAGAGGCCATGAATGGAGTGTTTCTGTGGGTCCAGGAAAGGGTGTGAGACTAGAGAGAGTCCAAGATTTACTGCCCTTGGGAACCAAGGCTAGAGTGGCCGCAGTCCCAAGACAGGAGGGACTCCAGAAACTTAGATGCTTCATGCCTGACCTTGCCATCCTACATCCTTCATGGATGAATTAAGACATAGCTGTGTGCTGATGCTTTCAAGACTGCCATTTCTGCAACTTCATCTCTGGCCCTGACACATAGGTCTGACACTGTCTCACACTGGACATCCCCGACCCAGAAGGACCACAGCTGTCTGGGTTGTCCTTAGCCAGTCAGCACTGGAGCTACTGCCCACCCTTGGCATTGTATCCTGCTCACAGTTGTCTCTGAGGGACCTGAGAAGCAATTCTCTGCCTTCCTGACAACTGGTCTTGTCACAGGCTCATGTATCTTCATGTTGTTCTTTTGGCAGGTTGTAGAATGGTTCCAGACCTAAGTGATGTGTTTTCCAGAAACACATGCTTCCCTCTGGGACTTCCACATAGACAACAAACAAACAAAAACCACAACCCTTTCTCCTTATTAGTTGGCATTTCCAGTGTTGGAAAGTGCTATGCAGGCTGTCAGGGTGGATGGGAGGGCTGTTGAATCACCTCAGGCAGGTATTCTTGCTGGTGTGATAGTGTCATAGTTGCTATGGGAACAGACAACTACTTTCTGAATGGACTTAAGGGTCACTCCATAGAGAGATGTAGATGAATTTCTAAATAAAAACCACGGAGCCAGATATATGGGTAAAAGCCTGGGAGAGATCAGAGAAATAGGGAAAGCCACAGCTAACCTCACCTCACCAACTCTGCAGCTTCCAAAATGCGAGTGACTTCCTGTCTACCCACGTCTACATGCCTTGTTATTCTACCATCTGATTTGTTCTCTCTGTCCAGCTACATCACTTCCTGCTCAGCTCTGTCACTTCCTTTCTATCTGTACAGACCTCCAGACCTCCATGGTTAACTGTGTTAGAATTTAAGGCGTGTGCCACCACATCTGGCTCTGTTTCCAATGTGGCCTTGAACACACACAGATCCTGCCTGCCAAGTGATAGGATTAAAGGTGTGTGCTAACATTACATGACTTCAGTGTTGTGGCTAGCTTTTTCCTCTGATCTCCAGACAAACTTTATTTATTAAAGCATTAATGCATTTCAGCAGAAATAAAATATCACCACAGAGAGAGCCTGAGTTTGGTACAGTAAGGCGAAATTCTGTGGCTAGGTGTATCTTACTACCTTGCTGTGTATCCACAGTCCCCTCTTCAGACCCACCCTCCTCCTTCAGGCCTACCTCCCTGTACCTCTCTAAATACAACAGCCCACCACCTTTCTCCTGCTCACCCACAAGGCTACTGTTACACAGATGTCTGTGACTATTGATTTCTAGAGCAGTCTCTTACTCAAATGGAGGCCCTTCAGACAGCTTTGTGAGTCAGGGAAGAACAAGAATTGCCCTTCCCAAGCCTCTGTTCCTCTGCTCGCACATGCTCTCCTGACACAAAGATTCCAGAGCACTTCCAGGGGACCTGGGGAGTGACACAGCGGTGTTCCCAGGTAGTTGCTGTCCTTGAAATGTGTATACAAAGCAGAGAAATGGTTTTTCCTCACCTAGAGGAACACGCGTGGACTTTGGATTCTGTGAGCCCATTCTAGTGTGCTTTTCGGTTGCTGTGGTAAAAATGCTCTACCAAAAACAGCATGGGAAGAAAGGGCTTATTTCATCTCACACTTTCAGGTCACAGTCCATCATTGAGGGAAGTCAGGCCAAGAGCTCAAGGCAGACTCCTTGCCTATCCACGCAGCACTCGCTCGGACTAGGGAACTCACTCACAGTGAGGAAGTGCATCAGGAACCACACAGGCTGCTGCTTGCTAGCTGCTTTGCTCTCTCCTCACTCATAGGCTTATGCTCAGCTAGTCTTCTTATTCAGCCCAGGCCCACCTACCTAGGGTTGGTGCTATCCACAACAGGCTCAGCCCTCCCTCGTCAATCATAAATTAAGACAGTCCCTCACAGATGCGCCCACACATTAGTCTGACCTGGACAGTACCTCAACTGAGACTCCTTCAGAAGGTGGATCCAGGCTGTACCAAGTTAACTGCTGAAACCGACTAGGCAGAACCTTGTGACTCTTACAGAACGGGTAATTGGGTCAATGAAAACATTTCAGTGTGAGGTTATGGGAGGCCTGGGCTCATGGTAATACTGCACAAACTCCAGCTTCTCACTGGTGAGCTCTGTTAGGGCCAGGGTCTCTGCTTTGGGGGAGACATAAAGCAATAGCATCTTTACCTCCAGATATCATACTAATGGTAGAGTAAACGAATGCCCTCCCCCAGTCTGTCTTGATCAGGCAATGGCTTCATCGGAGTTGCTCGTCAGATGCAGGATCAGATGATGAGTTACTTACATCATCATGGGAGACTCGGATTGTGTCACCGAGAACCCACCTTGACATGAGTAATGACTGGAAGGTGCACCACTGTGTTCTCTGAACAACCTGTAAGAAGCTCCATCGTCAAAGTGTTCCTAACCACAAGTAATCGTTAACTGCTTGGGTAACCCTGGAGAATGGACTTTTGGGACTTCAGCTTTCTTGAGGGTTTCAGGAGTGTCTCTTTCACCCCAGCAAGGGAATGTTTTAATCTGGAGTAAATAATTGCACAACATTAGGCCTCTTTCTCCAGTTCTTACATTCACACAACTCCCACAATGTTCCCTGAGCCACGTACCGAAGAAATATTGATGTTGATAGTGTAGACCAAGAGTAATACACACTTAGCGATTGGGTTAGCTGTGAGTCTCCACAGTAACCACTGCCCACTGAAAAAGAGAAATTCCTCTTCACAACAGTGATTGGCAGAAGCAGTACTCTGTGGGTCTGGATACACATGCTTTGAAGACCGATTGATAGACATGTGCATCCATTTAGTATTGTATTGTGTATCCATTGTAGTCTACTACAACAGCAGTAGAGTCCCCTCCAAAGCCTATGACCTCCCTGCCACAGGATTTACTCACTTGTACCAAACCTGGGTTCTCCCCTGTGTTGTTGGCTTTACAACCAACCAGAAAGTAGTTAGTTGTACCCACAGCTATACCACTATCATACCAGCACACCGAATTAACCTGCCATGTGCTGATAACAAGACCATTTGCAACAATTTCCCCCAGATTCTTGAACAGCCCTTTTCTGACACTGTAAATGTTAGCCAGTAGGGAAGGAGTCCAACTCAGCCTGACGTTTCCATGTCTTATTACAAGAAATGTGTAAGAATCTTCAGCAATAGGGACTCACTATCTAGTTTTAACCTGCAACCAAACACAGTGGCAATTGCCTGTATTGTGTGAAGATTCACAGACCTCCTGACCTACAACTTGTAGGGAGATAGATACCTCACCTCTCACACTGGGGTATTCATCTAACAACCATATGGCTACTGGGAGTGTCCTTTCCCACCCACAGAGGCACACTGATTCAATTTTTCCTATTTCTTTTTTTGTATACTTACCAAGTGCATATTGAACAGAAGGTAGCCATGTCCTTTCTATGTATAATGCCGATTATATTAATTAAGTAAATAGCAAAAAATGCCTGCTAGGCAGAAATCCCAGTGTTTAGCTCTCAAATCTTAAGACCTTGAATTGAGTAAGAATTGAAGAGGGTAGAAAATTAGAGAGAGAGAGAGAGAGAGAGAGAGAGAGAGAGAGAGAGAGAGAGAGAGAGAGGAGAACACTAAAGCTACTCTACTAACTGAGGATTATCCTGAAACTTTACAAAAACCCTGGCAGCATTTCATTATTGTTAATTTTTTTTTTTTTTTTTTTTTGGTTTTTCGAGACAGGGTTTCTCTGTGTAGCTTTGCGCCTTTCCTGGGACTCACTTGGTAGCCCAGGCTGGCCTCGAACTCACAGAGATCCGCCTGGCTCTGCCTCCCGAGTGCTGGGATTAAAGGCGTGCGCCACCACCGCCCGGCTTATTGTTAATTTTTAAACTGGAAAATTAGGGATTATTTGGCAATGCTAGTTTTGACTGGTGAACAATGATAAAGTCCAATGAGAGGAAAAATAAACGAAGGACGGCCAGGGAGGCTTTCAAAGTCGTCTTTAGGATACTATCTGAAAACCTCAGATTTCATGCAGAGGCAGCCCTGGGTTGTTGTTTTTGTGAACCAAGAGGTCATTAAAATGCTCATCATGACACAGAAATCTTTTCAGGGGAAGCTGCTCTCTTAAACGCAGCCTCTGCTTGGGATGAACAGTGCTATTCACAATTGTTTCATCAAAGGTTTCCTCTTGGCATGCTAGCAGCCTAGCAAAATAACCCAAGCCCCAAAGGAAGCAAAGGAGTCCAACTAGAAAGATGGGGGATGGGCCTAGAAAGAATCAGAGATCCCAGCAGTGCCCCAGAAGCTCTTTGTGGTCCCTTTTGAAAAGCTGTGGTAATCAAAGTTTCCCAGGAGAGTGTGAAGATAGGACTTAATATAAAATATTTCTAAATCTTTTTTTTTGAGCGGGGGAGTGTTTCAAGGCAGGGTCTCTCTGTGTAGCCCTGGCTGTCCAGGAACTCACTATGTAGACCAGGCTAGTCTCGAACTCAGATTCACCTGACTCTGCCTCCTGAGTGCTGGGACTAAAGGTGTGCACCACCACACCCAGTCAAGTAGGCTAAGTATTTCTAAATCTTAAGGTAAAGGCAGCATTGAAAGTGTTCTTCAGATATTCTGCTATACTCATAGACTGGAGCCTAGCCCAGTCGTCAATCAAAGAGGCTTCATCCAGTAACTGATGGGAGCAGATGTGGAGACCCACAGCCAAACATTAGGCAGAGCTCAGGGAATCCTGGAGAAGAGAGGGAGGAAGGATTATACGAGCTAGAGGGGCCGAGGGCACCACGAGAACATGACCCACAGAATTAACTAATCAGGGCTCATGGGAGCTCACAGAGACTGAAGCAACAATCAGGGATCCTGTGTGGGTCTGAGCTAGGTCCTCTGCATATATGTGTGTGTGTACCTTGGTGTTCCTGTGGAACTCCTAACAGTGGGAGTGGTGGTGTCTTTGACTCTTTTGCCTACTCTTGGGACCCTTTTCCTCCTACTGGGTTGCCTTCTCCAGCCTTGATATGAGGGTTTGTGCCTGGTCTTATGGTAACTTGTTATGCTGTGTTTGGTTGGTATCCCTGGGAGGCCTGCTCTTCTTTGAAGGGAAAAGGAAGAGCAGTGGATCTGGGGGAGAGGGGAGTTTTAGGGTGGGAGGAATGAAGGGAAGGGAAATTGTGGTCAGGATGTAATATATGAGAGAAGAAGAAGGAAGAAAAAAATGTTCTTCAGAGGCCAAATACAATCTCAATACACCTGGAAACATCTTAATAAAATCCACACTTCCTGCTTTAAAAGTTTTTTTTTTTCCTGAGTAATGTATTTGTTTTTATTCATTTTTATCTTTTTTTAAAAAAAGATTTATTTGTTTATTATATATACAGTGTTCTGCCTACATGTGTTCCTGCAGTCCAGAAGAGGGCACCAGGTCTCATTACAGGTGGTTGTGAGCCACCATGTGGTTGCTGGGAATTGAACTCAGGACCTCTGGAAGAGCAGCCAATGCTCTTAACCGCTGAGCCATCTCTCCAGCCCCTCATTTTTATCTTTTTAAAAATTTTATTTATTTTACATCCCGACTGCAGTTTCCCCTCCCTCCTCCCCTCCCCTCCCCTCCCCATCTCCTCTTCACCCCCCACCCCTCCATCCATCCACTCCTCCTCTGTTTCTGTTCAGAAAGAGGCAGGCCTCAAATTTTAATTTTATAATTTACTTCATAAATTTTATGTGTGTAAGTGTGTTCCCTGAACATATATATGTACACCACAGGCATGCCTAATGTCTGTGGAGTTTAGAGAGGGCGTTGGATCCCCTGTTAGTGGAGTTACAGATGGTTATAATCAGCCATGTGGGTGCTAGGAGACAAACCTGGGTCCTCTGCAAAAGCAACAAGTGTTCTCAGCTGCTGAGCCGTCTCTCCAGCCCCGTTTTGTGGTTTTATGTTGTGCTTTTTACTTTAATTAATCAGGCTTATTTTTGACAGTGTTCTTGCACAGATGTAGTTTATTCTGATTATCCTTTTTCCCTACCCTCTTTTATCTCCCTTCAGTCCCTCTCAACCTCCCCTCCTCCACACATGTCCTCTTTTTTAGTTTACCTTTTCACCCACTGAGCTCAGCCAGAGCTGTCTGTGTTGAATTCTGTTTTATTTTTGTATGTCTAGTGCACTCAAGTGCACATGCATATTCACACGTGTGAGGGCATGGCCAGACTGTCTTCTTCAATGACTCTCTGTCTTGTATTGAGTCTTTCTCTGTCCCACCAGCCAGTTCCCAAATCATGACACAGAGACTTATTATTAATTATGAAAGCTCGGCCAATAGTTTAGGCTTGTTTCTAACTATCTGTCATAACTTAAATTAACCCACGTCTATTAATTTACTTTCTGCCTTGTGGCTTCATTACCTCATCTCCGTAGTGCCCATTCTGTTTGCTCTACATCCTCTGTGTCTTCTGCCCTTCTTCTTTCCAGCATCCTCTGTGCCTGGAAATCCTGCCTAACTATTGGCTGTTCAGCTTTTTATTAAACCAAGCAGAGTGACACTTCTTCACAGTGTACAAAAGGATTATTTCACAGCACTGTCTTGCGTGTTGAGGGAGACTCCATCACTTGAACCCGGAGTTTGCTGATTTGGGAAATCTAACTAGCTGGTTCAATATGAAGACCCCATCTCTGCTGCTCACATACCAGGATTACAGGTAAACTATCATGCTCGCTCACCTGGCATGCACATGCAGGTGCTTGTGCACATCTGTGTGCATGCATGCGAGGCTTAAAGTTGACGTATGTCTTTCTCAACCTCTTTCACCTTTATTTATCAAGACGGAGTCCCTGATTGAACTTGGAACCTACCAGTTTGGCTGTTCTGGCTGGCCAACTTGTTCTGAGGGTCCCTTGTCTCCTGAGTGCTGGGATTTTAGCCAGCATGCTTGCTTGGCTTTTATGGGGTTCTAGACATCCAAACTCCTGTTTGCATGGCAAACATTTTATCCACTGAGCCATCTCCTAGCCCCTGTATTTATTCTTACACAACCTGTAGAATAGAGTTGAAATGATTGTTACAGGTTCTGATGTGGATAATATATTGGTTATAATACACACCCCGTCCTCAGCTTCTATCTACATTTGACTGTGGTGCTCTTTTACAGGGGTCTTTGGAAGGATAATGTCAGCTCATGTAAGGGATGCCTTTTTGCTGTTTATATTACCTTTTGCAATAGTCTCCAAAACCATAACACCACATTCCTTTGCAAGTGGTCTTTGCCTATAGGTTCAACTCTTTCATCACACTTTCCTAGTAAACTTCTTTCTGCAAGTCCACTGGAAGGCTTATCTGTGATTCTAAGCTACTTCCTAACACTTTCAATTTTTTCCAGTGGTCATGTCATGTACTAGCACACCTACTCATTGCTTCGCTATAGGAAATTGTGAAGGTGGAAGTCACTACTGGCCTGCTGGACCCCCTATCGGTTAGCGTGATTTTTCCTTGTAACTTACCTATTTTAATCTTAAAGCCTATTCCTTGTCTGGAAATAAAGATAGCATGAAAGGTATTTTCTGAGAAAAATGTGAAAGGAAACAGTTCTTTCCAATCTGGCATCCAGAGCAGGAGACGCGGGGGGGGGGGGGGGGGGGGGGGGGGGGGGGGGGGGGGGCAGTTCGTCTTCTTTGGGTAGCGCGCCCCCATGAGTTGAGTACTTCTTATTACATCCAAATCCCCCACATTCCAGGCGGCTTTGGGCGGAAATGAAGTTCCGGAGACGCAGCAGGTCTTACAAGAGACTTCTCGGAGGGGACCCTGACTATACAGCGTCCCAGCCCCTAAGCTTTAGAGTCTAAGGGTGGCCATCACAGCTTCGCAGGTTGGCTGGGACAAAGTGGGCCTTCCCTTCACCCTCAGTGAAGTTCTCTGGGAACTTCAGAGGCCAGAGCTCCATAGTTCCTAGAGTGGGGCAAGTGTGCAGACTGCCTCTCCGGCATGGACTCTTCAGGAGCAGGGGGATTGTCAGCTTTTGAACCCAATTACGTTCCTTTGTCCAACGTGCATCGTGCATCGTGACAGTCAATGAGATTTAGCCCTGTGTTCCTGAAAGCCGTGGCCCCACACCAGCTGCCATATTGCCTGAGGTCTGTTCAACTTAGAAGTGGATACAAAGCATCTTCAGTGCTCAAGGCAAGTGACATGATTTGAGTTTTTCTGGGAGCGTGAGATCACTTTCCAGGTTGTTGTATCGGTGGCGCATCCTTGAAGAGGTCTGGGACCAAATTACAGTCTAGTATGGCCAGCTCAGCTCTTCCTGAAGGGTGGACAGAAGGGGCCTATTTTACTCAGATCTGGCACCCGTGCGTGCATGCAGAGACTGTGTTGTAGGGTCACACGGTGGGTTAAGAGCAGCGGGAAGGTTCTGTGGTACCTCAGATTGACGGAAGTCCACCTGCTAAGTAGGAATTGTGCCAGGAGAGCTGAGGCAAAACCTGGAGATCCAGACCAGAACATGCTGAGAGCTTGGGGGCAGCCCACGTTAGCCCAGGTTATCCCAGGTTTACAGAGACAGGAACCAAAACGACGCAGCTGTCTGACCGGGGAACAATTAGCATTTGAGAAATGCCTGCCACCAAAACGTGGCCAGTAGGCCAAACGCTGCAGAGTCTCACAGAGTAAAGGGTTAATTTGGTGTTAAATAGATTTTATGAAGGTAAGAAAAGCATTTAGAAAGGTCTAAAGTCATAATAAGACTTCAAAAAAAATCAAAGAGACCAAACGTGTGCGGTCAGTGTTCTTAGGGATTGGGGAACAGTACCCAGGGCCAGGGGAAGGTGCTGATTCCCAAACTGTACATATGGGAAAGGGGACTGAGAGCTGAAGACGTTCACTAGAGGTGGAGCTAGGGTCTGAACCCTGATGCGTTCCCTTGTAACTTCTGTATCTCCTCCGACTTGAAACCCCACCCTCAGCATTTCTCTTGGCTGTGTGGAGCCTGAGGCATGGACAAACTCCCCAACGGTTGTAACATTTGGGGCCTCTGTTCTCCCCAATGCACACCTGACTTCAACTCTAGATCATTAGAAATCAGGCCAGAAAGAATTTATCAGCTCCCAGGAGGCAGGGAAACCTGTCCAGCCAGCTTCTTCCAGATGGATTCTGTCCCAATCCTGGATGGAGTTTATCTGGAGCCTTCCACTCTAGAAACTGAGACCAAGGGCCAGCCTGAAAGGACCGAGGCAGGACAGGCACTAAAGCCCATCCTCAGCCCACATCACTGTGAATGTTCTCTCTTCTCCTCCACCGACCTGTGCACAAAGACACAGGTGTGTCAATAATTTCCAGGAACGTTGTGCGAGTTGTCTCAATCAACCCAAGACTCACTGCAGTCAGTTCCTCACCAGATGAATGAGTCAGCAAAGAAGCTCGTTGGTTGCGTAGGAGAGATGTGTGCCCCAAACTAATAGTAATACTCACCAGACCCAACACTTCTTGCCCAAAGATCACCATAATCTTGTACTGCTGTGCCCAGTTCACTGTGGGAGTGGAGCTGTTCTGGATGCTGATTCTTGATCCCTCTCAATTTCCATCTTTGTTGCCAGGAAAGGTTATGTAAGAATGTTCTGTAACCCTCCTCCTTTATTTCCACCAGCCATTGGAAAGGGGGCACTGTGTGCTGTAACACACATACACCATTCCAATGCCCTGTGCGTCCCCACTGAACCTGACGTGTATTTGGAGAATCAGCCTCTGCTTGTCCTTCTAACACCATGAAGGAGAGGGAGGGCCTCCTAGTTTAGACCTCCCCCAGCTTCCTGCTGTGGACACTGCTGTCAGTTTGAACTTGGAACAGGATGGTCACGTGGTAAGAGAGAGGAAGGGGCCTGAGGAAGGGAATCCAGGGCTCATGGGTGGGATGTTTAGTGCAGGCAGGAAGGAGAGACAGAGGTCTCTGTTGCCTCTAGCTCCAGGCCCTGTCAGAGCATCACAGTCTATCAGGAAGTTAACTGTGGAAGTCAAGATAAAATTGGACTCCTGTTAACTGTCCATCCCATAATCAGCTGAACAGGATAGGTAGGGGGCAGGTTCCTCAACACCCAAACTTTAGATCTTTATCATCCTTGCATACTTACTTTAAAAAATATATTATTGGCCGGGCAGTGGTGGCGCACGCCTTTAATCCCAGCACTCGGGAGGCAGAGCCAGGCGGATCTCTGTGAGTTCGAGGCCAGCCTGGTCTACAAAGCGAGATCCAGAAACGGCGCAAAGCTGCACAGAGAAACCCTGTCTCGAAAAACAAAACAAAACAAAACAAAAAATATGTTATTGCCGGATGGTGGTGGCGCACTCGGGAGGCAGAGCCAGGTGGTTCTCTGTGAGTTCAAGCCCAGCCTGGAGCAAGATCCAGGACAGGCACCAAAACTACACAGAGAAACCCTGTCTTGAAAAACAAACAAACAAAAAAAAAAAACATTATTTTTATGTGTCTGGGTGCTTTGCCTGTGTGTGTGTCTCTATACCATGTGAATACGTGTGCACAGAGACAAGAGGAGCCAGCACTCTTAACCACTGAGCCATTTTTCAGCCCCACACCTACTTTGATACAGTGTATTTCTCCATTGTAGTACTCTCAGGACTTCTGGACACCCTCATGCTAGCTAGAGCCCATCCGGGAGTCAGCCCCTCACTCCTGTGTACTCAGAGGTCCTCATCCCTATCTGGGTGTTTGTATCCCTTGATGCATCATATTCTCTCCTTCTTTGGGGTTCCAGTATATTCACCTCATGGTGGCCTTACATCTACATCTCTGTGTAGGTTTCTGGTGTTCCCTGTGGTCCTTTATATCTTGGGGTGCTTATGTTATTGGACAAGTGGTGATCTACACTCTGTAAAGGTACAAACAACCTTGAATTATGATGGTAGGTCTCTTGGGACCTTGGTGGGTCCACCCCTTCTCCATTAGACTGTTTTTGTCCTTGCCCTCCCTGAGGAGCTCCATCCATATGGAGCATGCACACTCTTGCCACCATAAACTTCTCTGCCTACGAGTCACCAGGAATGCTGTCGCCAGAGGCCATCAACATCTTTGGAGTACCAGCTACCTGGGATCACAATGGGTTGAATCTCCATCAACCTGGTGTCCCTAGGATTGAACCTTTTTAAGATGACGAGGGTGCCAGGAGGTGATAGCACACGCCTTTAATCCCAGCACTCAGGAGGCAGAGCCAGGTAGATTTCTGTGAGTTCCAGGACAGCCTGGTCTACAGAGCGAGATCCAGAATGGGCACCAAAACTACATAGAGAAACCCTGTCTCGAAAAACAAAACAAAACAAAACAAAAAAGCAAACAAAGCCGGGCGGTGGTGGCGCACGCCTTTAATCCCAGCACTCGGGAGGCAGAGACAGGCAGATCTCTGTGAGTTCGAGGCCAGCCTGGTCTACAGCGCGAGATCCAGGAAAGGCGCAAAGCTACACAGAGAAACTCTGTCTCGAAAAACCAAAAAAAAAAAAAAAAAGCAAACAAAAAAAACCCAAAACAAAACAAAAAATGACAAGGAGCTGGCACTTAATGGCAAATACATACTGCCTGTCCTCAAAAATACAAGTGAACTTGATCATCACTGACCCTGGGATGCTGAGCCAGAGGGAAGCTGTGTCAGCAGAGCATTGGTGGAAGGGAGCTCACCCTCACTCAGAACAGCAGGAAAGTGCATAGTCCAACCCACTTTCAAGTCAGCTGGGCAGCAGACTGCTGGGTGCTGAGAACCCCAGTGAATGAGGTTCACATGGAGACACAGGGGTAGGGAAAGCCCAGGAGCTCCCGCCCTGTAACTTGACCTGCTTTTCTGGCTGTTTTTTTTCCTCTAGTGAGTTTAAATTTCCTTTAAGACAAAACAAAAGTTCATCAAATGTGATGGCTTGAAAGAAATGGTCCCCAGTTGGTGGAACTTTTTTTAATTCTCACATTAAACATCTGAAACTCTTAACCTGTACACCATCTCTACCCAGTCCACATTTTAAACTATGCTGTGTGTGTGCTGTCAGGGGTGGGGATGGTGTGTAATGCTCCAACTCTGAACAACCCTTTGTCCAGGTCTGCCATTGGCTGGGCCTAAAACCATGGGTGACTGAGTGAGGGCCTGTTAGTGAGAAAGGAGGCAGAAGGTCAGTGAGGAGCACCAAGGAGCAGGCATAGGTTGGAGGGAGACACTCAGTAATGGTGCTCTCGTTCCTGAGCCAATAGACCTGGATTCTTGCTTGTGACTAGTGAGGTCAAAATGAGTGGTTCCGTTTCCAGTTTCCTCCTAGCAGGTGATACAGAGACCAAGGTGAGCATTAGCGAGTGCCAAGTGTGGCAGAATGAAGGCTGTGGGCTGAAAGGGACAAGGAGATGAGTGGCAGCCTCCCATGGGGATGAGGAACCCTGAGCCACCCTAGATTCCCTCTCCCCTTCCAGGTTAATTCTGTGGGGATCACAAAATTGGCTGGACTTTGGCTCCCTGCCTGACCACAACCCAGCGTCCTCACTTAGGGTTTATGATTATCAAGCATCCGGGTGCCAACAATGAGACCTCTCCCCAAGTAAGCAAGCCCAGGGTGAGTTACACTGTCCCAGGTGTGTCTCGGGCTTGAGAGAGGATCAAGTATCCCGGGTGAGAGATGGTATAACAAGAAGGAAAAGGGAAGAGAGGTGGTGAGAGGACCAGGCAGACGCCATGACAGGCTGTCAGTCTTCTCTCAGGATCAGGCCTCAATTTCAGTTTCCTGAGACTCAAGCAAGCAGTTTCTGGGAGGGCCATGACCAAAAGACATAGTCCTTGCAGTAGCTCCCTTTCTGCACGTACTCTGACCACTCAAGGTTCAGCCAGTTGTTTACTGTCTGGGACGCCTCACCAACTTAGAGCTACGTGCATGGGTCAATGTGAACGTGTGAAGCCAGCCAGCCCCCATGACAGCTCAAGGACAAAGCCTGGGAATTGTCCAGGCCTACCAAAAAATAATAACTGTAACCCCCAGCCAGTAAATTCAAAGGTTACATATCCCCACCCAATCATGATGCAAAGGCTTGTACCACCCTGCTTGTGGTTTTCCCCTTTAAAAACCCCTCACCCTGAGAGCTCAGGGCCGTCCTCCTCCACCTTCTGTTCTTGAGTGTTGGACACGGACCAAACTGGGCTTGTTTGTTATCAATAAACTACTTTGTGTTTTACTTTGAATATCGGCTCAGTGGTGATGTTGCTCAGGGGTCTCACGACATGGCCACAACAATGGCAGCCTTCCACAAGGGTAAGGAGCATCCCAGGACTTGCTTCTTCTCTATGCTAATCCTCTGGGGATCCCAAAGTGAATGGACAGGGCTCTCTCCTCTGTCCTATTCCAGCTCTTGGCCTCTGGTTTATGATTATCCAGGAGCCAGCCAGCTGGGCACCAGCCCAGCTCTGTTCCTAAATATGAGACAGGCCCTGGCAGGTTCCGGCTGTTAACCTAGAAGCTCAGCTGTGGTAGCACGTAAGAGGGGCAGATAGACAAGGTTGATGTCTCTCTGGGTCTAGAGTCTCACAGCCTTCCTGGGTGTTCAAGGGTTGCATGCTTTGGGGCTTCACCTTTGCTTCTTAGTAGATTAAATCTTTCTAACTAGGGGACTATTTGCGGAAACTTGCCATTGGGAACACAGGATTCGGACATTTACAAATCCTGAAGAGGAAACACAGCTGGGGGATGGGAAAGCCTGTGCCTGGGTAAGGAGAGAGGTGGAAACGGGACATGCCTGTGCTCTATCAATCTTGCTCTACTAAATCCTCAAAATTACCCCGGAAACCAGGTGTTTCTTCATGCTGATCTGTAGGTGAACACACACAGGCTCAGAGACGTGGGCATGCCTCGCCTCACAGGACTAGCAGGGGAGGAACCAGGGGTATAAAGTTCTGGAAACCAACACTGTCTCCTAGGGTTGTTGTTCTGCTCCCTCCTGGGTGACAGTGGAAATGTGCACCTGTGAGTCTGGAGGCTAGGAGCTAGGTGGTAAGTGGGGGTTTAGGAAACTCATTTGGCTTCCTCTGGTTCTTCTAGGGCTATAAGGAAGCAACTCAAGCAGATTGGAATGTGTCTCCTGGATGCTGAGATTTGAGACAAAGCTTTCCCCATGGCTCCTTATCACATCCGCCAGTTCCAGGAGAGGGACTACAAACAGGTCATAGACTTGTTCTCCAGGGGCATGGAGGAGCACATCCCTGCCACCTTCCGCCACCTGCTGAAACTGCCCCGAACCCTCCTGCTCTTAATTGGGGTGCCTCTTGCCATAGTCCTGGTGTCTGGCTCCTGGCTCCTGGCTGTTGTATGCATCGTCTTTCTGCTTCTATTCTTGTGGTTCCTTGCCGGCCAGCCCTGGAAGAATCATGTGTCCATGTGTTTGCACACAGACATGGCTGACATCACTAAGTCCTACCTGAGTGTGTCTGGCTCGGGTTTCTGGGTGGCTGAGTCTGGGGGACAGGTAGTGGGTATAGTGGCTGCTCGGCCAGTCAAGGCTCCCCCATCAGGGAGGAAGCAGCTGGAGCTTTTTCGCCTGTCTGTGTCCTCACAGCATCGAGGACAGGGGATGGCGAAAGCCCTGGTCAGAACTGTCCTCCAGTTTGCACGGGACCAGGGCTACAGTGACCTTGTCCTTGAGACCAGTGTCATACAGCAAGGTGCTGTGAGCCTCTATGAGGCTATGGGATTCCAGACGACAGGCCTATTCTTACTGGACAGCATTGTCGGAAGAGTCATTGACTTTTTTGTAATTCGTTTCATGTACCCTCTCCCTTCTGCTCAGGAACCCAGACTTTGATCTTATTTCTTTCCATATCTGCCACGCTCCATTTCACTGTGCTGTAACAAGGAAACCCTGATATTTCAGTGGACAAATAATAAAGGCAGCTTTTTCAGACTCTTTCAATTGCTGTCTGTTTGACAATGGATGACAGAATCGAGGAATGGAACCCTGTTTCCACTAAAGTCACCTTCCTGAAGGTGGCAAGGTTGTGGCTCTGATGATGTGGGAGTGATTTTCATGACTTGAACAGGGTGTGTGTCCCCTACTGGCAAAGGCTAGACCCAGTCCCATGGACCAGTATTAGCAAGTGGAGGCCAAGCATGGCATGTTCCCTCAGGTCCATGGAGAGGATGTGTGACTGGAGTGTCTCAAACATACAACACTTGGGACTAAGGCTGGCTCCAGTCCCTGTCTCAAGCAACAGGGACTCTAGAACTTCTTAGGTCCCTTCAGCTTGACCATGTCACCCTGCAAGATACAGATATCTGGGCAGGTGGGGTGTGGCTCAGTGCTGCTGCCTGAGACGCTGCTTCTCTTTCTTGCAACTTCATCTCTAGCAATGCAGTGACATTTGGTGTCTTTTGTTATGTTACTTCTGACCAAGTGACAATAAGGTCCTCCTGATCAAGGTTGTCTAGGTTCCCCTTATTTGGTAAGGTGTGACTTCCAGGCAGTATTCAGGCATGGCATTGCATCCTGCCGGCAGCTGTCTCCTCGGGGGATGTAGATGACAGCGCTCTGCCACCATGCTAACTCGCTTTGTTAGCCCCATTTTCCTCAGTAGGCGCTCGGCCAAAACATGGTGTTTGGTTAGAACCTCCATCTTGCTCCTGCAGCTCCTGAACTGTCTCAGAAGCCCCAGTCCTGTCTTTCTAAGCCCCGCCCCCTCAGAGAATCACTGAACAAAGGGAAGGCATCCAAAAGCCCAGTTCTGCATTCATGGCAGCTAAGGCAGTTCCCACCCTGAAGCCCAAGTCCCCATCTAAAGCAATCAACTTTTGAACACACTTGGACAGAAACCCAGCTTATGGCAGACATATCACACCCCTTGCCTACAGGCTGTATAATCTCCCTGCTTTAGTTCGGGCGCTTGTTCAGCTTCTCTGGCCTTGCTTGATCTCTGGAACTGGAGAACCAACCCGGGAATTGCTTTGCTCAAATAAACCTGTTGTTACACTTTTCAATTCAGCTTGATCTGGCTTCCTGCATCGGCAGAGAAACCTGTTATTGGGGGACAGAAAACCTATTATCTTGTTGCTGAAACCCAGGAGGAGTTGAGCTCTCCTACCTGCTGGGCTCCAACAATTTAGGTAACCACTCCCTTTATCTTTTTTCTGCCAGATGTGATCAACTTTTAGTTCAGGACAAGTTACCCGTTACTCAGTCACCACTTACAGAAGTACTGGGTATCTCTCTCTGGGTCCAGGACCCTTGGGATCCCCTGCCAAGCCGTGGCCATGCCAGGGAAAGCCTGTCCATTCTGGAGCAGAGACAGTCTCTGTTCTGGGAGACCTTTTTGTTAGGAGACATCCTTCCCAAAGGCTACACCCATCCCTACTGCTTGACTCCAGGCTTTCGAGTGGGATGCCTCATCCTAGCCTTCAGTCTCCAGCACAGCCTTAGGAATGAGCAACACTGGATCTAATCCTGATCCTCAGACACCTGGGGTGTCTTCTGCAAAATGTATCCAAATTCATGGGCTGTCTCACCCCATACGCTATAAACAATGCTTTGCGCTCCTTATCCAGGGCTTTTGATCTCTGCTCTCCTGCTCCTCTCTCCGTAGCCAGTGCTGGTGGCCTCGGTTTTATTGTCCGGGGTTCTGGTGGCTCCTGATGCTTTTCTTCCCAGTGACTGACTCTGAGCCCTCCACCCTGACTGAGCTGCCGAGTCACTGGCACCCCCCACTTCTTCAGTTCCTCTTGGTTCTCTTGTCTCTTCCCTGTTCTGTTCATCTGTCTGTCCACCTCTCCATGTCCCCACTCCAATGTGGCCTTTCGCTCTCACTCCCCCCCCCCCCAATAAACCTTTTACACTCACTCTGTTGCACGTGGTGTGATCTTTAAATGCCATACCTTGGCCCGGCCCACCAGAAGGTACCCACTTTGACATTTTTTTTTTTTTTTTGGTTTTTTGAGATAGGGTTTCTCTGTGTAGCTTTGCGCCTCTCCTGGAACTCACTTGGTAGCCCAGGCTGGCCTCGAACTCACAGAGATCCGCCTGGCTCTGCCTCCCAAGTGCTGGGATTAAAGGCATGCGCCACCACCGTCCGGCCCCACTTTGACTTTTTAAAAAATCTTTTCACTGGTGCCAAAGAATCACGAGGCTCTCCTGGCATTATGTCTGGCCATGCTGGGATCCTACCCATCTGCTCCACCAAAACAGATATCTGCTCTCTCTATTTGTTTCTGTCTGCTCTCCTACCCTAAACTTCATAAATGCCCTTGCTGTGGTCACATTGCAAGACCCCCTGAGCAAGACCACCACAGAGCTGATATTAGATGCAAAACACAAAGGGGTTTATTGATAACAAGCAAGCCCGGACTTGATCCATGTCCAACATCCGACACAGCGGGTGGAGGAGGACAGCACTGAGCTATCAAGGTGAGGGATTTTTAAAGGGAAAAACCACAGGAAGAGTGGTACAAGTCTTTGCATCATATGATTGGGTGAGGGTATGTAACCTTTGAATTTATTGGTTGGGGGTTACAGTTATCACTTTTGGACAGGCCTGGACAATTCCCAGGCTTTGTCCTTGAGCTGCCTGTGGGTACACAGCAAGGTAGTAAGATATACCTAGCCACAGAATTTTGCCTTACTGTACCAAATCCAGGCTCTCTCTGTGGTGATATTTTATTTGTGCTGAAATGTATTTATGTTTTAATAAATAAAGTTTGTCTGGAGATCAGAGGAAAAAGCTAGCCACAACACTTAAGTCATGTAATGTTAGCACACACCTTTAATCCTATCACTTGGCAGGCAGGATCTGTGTGTGTTCAAGGCCACATTGGAAACAGAGCCAGGTGTGGTGGCACACGCCTTAAATTCCAACACTAGTTAACCATGGAGGTCTGGAGGTGTGTACAGATAGACAGGAAGTGACAGATCTGGGCAGGAAGAGGAAGTGATGTAACTAGACAGTGAGAGCAAATCAAATGGTAGAATAGCAAGGCATTTAGGCTTGGGTAGACAGGAAGTAATTTGCAATTTGGAAGCTACGGAGTTAGTGAGGTAAGGTTAGCTGTGGTTTTCCCTATTTCTCTGATCTCTCCCAGGCTTTTACCCATAAATCTGGCTCCATGTTTTTTATTTGATAAGACGGTTTAGAAATTCATCTACATCTCTCTATGGAATGACCCTTAAGTCCATTCAGAAAGTAGTTGTCTGTTCCCATAGCAACTATGACACTATCACACCAGCAAGAATACCTGCCTGAGGTGATTCAACAGCCCTCCCATCCACCCTGACAGCCTGCATAGCACTTTCCAACACTAGAAATGCCAACTAGTAAGGAGAAAGGTTTTTTTTTGTCTATGTGAGCAAGCAGTTTCTGGGAGGGCTACAACATAGTCCTTGCAGTAGCTCCCTTTCTGCATGTACTCTGACAGTTCAAGGTTCAGCCAGTTGTTTACTGTCTGGAACCCCTCACCAACTTAGAGCTACGTGCGTGGGTCAATGTGAACATGCGAGGCCAGCCAGCCTCCATGGCAGCTAAGGGAATCCCAATTTTTATAGTTAAAAAGTCTGTAACCAAAAGTTAACTTAAAACCTATAACTGAATTAGAGCTGCTCTGGGAAATAACACATGGTTTGCCACCATCTTCCCTAAACTAAGTGCAACCATGTGGGCAGTCACCATTTTGACTAGGGTGGAAAAGAGGGCAGTCATGTGACTTCACCATCATATTGATTAAAGGTGACCACATGGAGTGGGCCTACAAAAGAGGCAACAACAGGTCTCCAAAATATTTTGGATTAGGATCTTTTTTTTTTTTTAATGAAGACAAGGTATATGAAAGACAGGATCTGAAACAATGCTGGTTTAATGAAGAATTAAAGCTGCACCTCCATGCATTCATGTACAGGAACATAATTGATGGCAGCCAGATTTTGAAAAGTAAGAACAATTCACTTGGTATTGGTTTTAGAGACACTGAATCGTTTACACTGTTGAAATTTGGTTGTGCCTTCTACAAATTATGATTTTGCTGTATGTCTTCATTCTTGAAATAAAAAGGTACTTTAGTTGGATATTACCAGAATACACAGTTGAGAGATCTTAAACTTCTTTAAAAGAAAACTTTAAAGTTTTACAGAAAGTTAAAGTAAACTGGATCTTTTTAAGAAACAGTTTTAAAATGTTTAAATTTGTAAGGAATGGGATATCTTAAAATTTATAAGACATTTTGTTATAATGCCTTTTTTTTTTTTTTTTTTTTTTTTTTTTTTTTTTTTTTGGTTTTTCGAGACAGGGTTTCTCTGTGTAGCTTTGCGCCTTTCATGGAACTCACTTGGAAGCCCAGGCTGGACTTGAACTCACAGAGATCCGCCTGCCTCTGCCTCCAGAGTGCTATAATGCCTTTTTTAATGTATGATCTTAATCCTCAAATGATTCAAAAGTCTGAGAATACGGCATTTTAAATGTTTAATAAAAAAGCTTTTTATGATAGAGAGACGTGCCAGCTCCTGGCAGCACCCCATCTCTTCCATAGAAGATGGATGGGCATAGAAGAACCTCCATCTGGAGCTTGTTTTAGATGTGGCAGAGCTGGTCACAGAGTGAAAAAAACCTCTTTCACCTCAACTGTGGCCAAGCCCCTGTCCAGACTTCGGACAAGCCAGGCCCTGGGGAGTTGATTGCTCCGCATTGCCTAGACAAGGTAGGCTGGTCCCTGCCAAATTCCTACTCCACAGGAAAGTCTGTCAGATCTTCTGGACTTGGCAGCCAAAGACTGATGCTGCCCTGGGACCTCTGTCCCTGATGGCCATGGAGGATCCTGAGGTAGCTGTTTAGGTGGCCAGTAAGTCCTTGTCATTTTTTTTTTTTTGTTTGTTTTTGTTTTTGTTTTTCGAGACAGGGTTTCTCTGTGTAGCTTTGCGCCTTTCCTGGAACTCACTTGGTA